CCCTATGTACTCTTTGTGTTGGAATAAAGTTCAACATTACTACAAACACAGATGAATTTCCATGATAATTTGAGAAAAAATATTTTTCCACTCTTGGCAAGTATCCGAACCTGTTTCTGATTAAATGCCAAGCCCTTGATTTAAACCTCTAATAAGCTGGTCTCCAAGGAAATGTGAGATGCCGAAATGACTTTTCAAAGGATAATGGTGACAGTCAAGGTTAAATATTCTGCTAATAGGAATTTTCAGTTGGAAATTTCCATTCACATTCGACGCACGTTCTGGCGTCGCCCTGATGAATATGGTAGTCAAACTTCGTATACTTCAAAGAGGACACACTATTAAAATCGATTCCTAAGTTGTCAAAGAAATGACTATGATCTATTCGTAGCCTAAACAGCAAAATAACATTTCCAACCATATCAATATGGTTTCAGCAGATAACGTCAAGAAGAATGTGAAAATGCAGCGAAACCACAGTTTTAATTAATACGGAAGCATAACGTAAAGTAATGAGAAATACGTAATTTTGTAAATGTCAATAATCTAAAAGTAGAATTCTAATAAGAGACGTCTTGCTTCAAGCTGAGCCCATTTCTTATTGTCAAATTTGGAGTATATGATGTAGGTAACTTAGAATGATGTTATTATTGCAAGAACGTATGACATGAAAGATATAAGACGCATCGGAATACCCTCAAGAGATATTACTTTGAGCTCATAAGTATCATCTGAAAGTATTATCTATGTTCCTTGTTATCAGATCTATTCTGTACTCTTCTTCGTATAAGCTTCTACGTACTTTACATTACTCATTAGTTGTAGTAGATGTCAGGAAGAGGTTGCTGTATAATAAACTCAACACGGCCATCTGTGTACTGTTGTCATCATTATATTATATTGTATAGGTTTTATAGATATTATATAGTATAGGTATTATATTGCCCCGGTACTGTAAATAAAATGTGACTACACATTTTGGTACTCTACAATAATGACTGACATTGATACTTTTTTTCCATACAAAAAAATTACATTTCTATAGTTAGTGCCATTGTTTCGTACATAATGTAAGTTCTGATAAGCATTGCCAACCTGATGTCCGTGAAGTATGTTCCAACCATACATTTATATATAAATAGATATATATTATATATAGAAAAGGCTAGGTTAGTTTTGACGCTAGCTCAAGATTTTCATTCATATTTGGTATGTTGGAAAGTCTTCATGACACCTCTATATGATTATATTTTGGGGCCCTAGCGGCTTGTTATGGTACATTGGCATTTATTATGAAAATGAAGATCAATTTGCATAACCAACGAGAAAATGCTATAATCCCATAGTGGTGACTGCTGAGAATTTTATTCTTTGCGGCATTTGGGAATAATTAGTTAATGATGTTCAAATCCACTTAATTCCCAATTTGAATCAGTACCCCGTTTATCATTTAATTGATTTATAAGGAAAGTCTAAAATGGTCCAATATTGTCAACTGATATACATGTAATGCATGCAAATGAGGATCTTATTTGCATAATCAATGAGAAACATTGCAAACCGTCAGTCGTAAAGGTCAACGTCATTTGGCGTAGGTATGGGGCCGTAATACTGTGTACAGTAATATAATATTATTGTATTTTCACCAAATAGCAACAATTTGGAAGTACATTTGTCCTGATACTGATAGTGAAGCTTTTGGCCGGCAGTCCATGGCCCCTGATGAACCTGTCCTTCGGCTTACCTGTGATGATGCTTACAAGATCAATAGTAAAGCAACGGCACCGCCAAACAGTATCGAAGTTCCCACAGAGGTTTATTACGTCTGCGATTCTTCTTCGATTATGTCGTTGGCCTTTGGAGCCAGGTTGTCGGGCTTTCCCCCACAACTATGTTTCCTAACAAAGCCCCTGGGGGGAACCATCAACAAAATAGCATTGTGGTCCCATTTTGAGTGGCGCGTGACCAATACCAATTGCCATCTCTTGTATCCAGGAACATCTTTCTTGCCCAATCTGGACCACTGGTCATGAATGGGCAGCGCCATCGTAATATCGTGGTTGAACTGTAGGCTCCATGGAGGCGCCGTGGATACTGTTAACGTCATTATCCAGGATATTGCTGTAGAGAGTCCTTGACTGTTCGTCGTACTCTTTATCCTATAACTGTACCATTTGCGTCACACATAAGTTACAGAGTCTACCCAGGTGGTGAACTTGTTCTAACAGGAACTGCTGCATATTTGTCAAAGTTTGTGAACGAAAATAACTGTATTTTATGGATCAATTTCACATGAAGTAAATCAAGCAGTGTGCAGGGGCGTTGTGGTCAGCAATTTAAGTTTTGGACCACAGGGTCGAAAATCAAATCCGCTGATTGTTTTATGTATTCACACATATTAACTAGTATACACAATAAATATATTACGCATTTTACTCGAGAACATAGATATAAAACAAGAGTAAAAAAACAATGACAAAATACATACATGCTTAATACAAAGAGGTCAAAAGAAAAACATATTTAGGCGTTGTCAGCCTTTTGGGGGGTATTTTATTTTTATTTTATTTTAGGTCATCGGATACCCTTCGGCTAATTAAAGGCGCAGTCATATTTCCAAACCCAGGACCCGGCCGCGCAGTCGTATGGAACGAAAAATACAAAAGGTTTTAGAAAATTAATTAACCATGAGCACTATTTGTGTATCGCTTAATGCAAATTATTTACTTTTCGTTCAGGCAAACAACCCGGCCGGGCCCCGGTATGGAAATGCAACCGTGCCCTAACTGGGCAATCCTGTCAACGTGCTAGCCGAATTAATTAGATAACAACAAATAAGTAGAGATAGCGTGTCTTTAATCTCTTACTGACACTCGCAACCACCAATTATCAATGTTATCTGCTATCATCGTACTTACATTGTTTGGGCGTCAAAAAGATATGACACACGAGAGGCAATATAATGATACGCCATTCACCGTAAAGTTGGTAGGAAGTAGATAATACTTTTTGCAGAATAGGTTTTCTGGCTGAATTTGAATTTACGAATAGCCTTGTGCTGAAATGCCTCTTACCATATATTAGCTAGAAGTGTGACCTCCAGGGCTGATAACATAAGAACCCACTTTATACGGAGAGTCTCTCCACAGTTGATGATGGTAGGCTGCTTCTCACATCCATATATCACATTCCTCGTTGTTTTAATTAGGATAAAAGTCGACAGCCTATCCAATTCAGAAGATCAGACGGCGTTCTATTGAGGGTTTCTGAAAGTTATTGGCGTCAAAGGTCAAGTAATTCTTGGCACACAAAGAAAGTAATCTCGCAAAGCGACGCTAATCAAATTGTGCTCGTCTATCAAAGTGACTGCTTAGATGATGTTACCAACGCTGGTTGAATGCTAATCACCAAGTCAGGGAAAACGGCCGCTAATTTTTCATCATTTAATTTAGGGTAATTGGATGCAAGCGTCGCCGCTCTGTCCTGACCTTGCGGCTTGTGAATATTCAATGTTCATTGTGCAGAACATTAAAGACACGCAATGTAATTTCAGGGTGGCAAAATTGCATGGATTTTCAAAGTCAATTTTCTGCTCATTCTTTGAATACAGTAACTTGAATCAACGTTATCCCTATCCCGTAACATTCTGATATCTGTGACGCAAAACTTCGATGTCGCTGAAGAACAAAGGTTGCTCTTTTTGCATCGTAGCCTAATTCTATCTATTTATTGGTGGTAGCAAAAATGTAAGGAGACGTTTCACATAGCTTGTAATTAGGGGGCTATTTAAACGGAACACTTCAAGTGCGAAGTATGAAATGATGACGAAAATGTGCTAATAAATAGCAGTGAATCTCGATCATTATCAGACAGATTTCCTCATCCAGATTTCTTTTGTTTTGTTTTGTTTTGATTTGCCACCCTGAAATTGCATTGAATGTCTTTAAGATCAGCCCATGGAGGCAGTTCCTGCACACATTTATTATACATGCAGCATAAGAACCACACTTTTGGGGCTAGTTTCGGCGCCTGCATTTTGCATCATCTTTCATCAGGAGGCAGAATATATAGTACATTAAGATGTACGAAGGATTTCGACTAACCTTAAGGGAATACTCTGTTCATCCTTCATCTGTCATCTTTGCCTTTTGGTAGTCTTAACCGTTGGGGCACCTCCATTTTATATTCATTGGTAGGCTTACGAACAAAAAATTAACAAATTCTAACAGTCTAGATATTACGATTTAATGAACGGGGTTTATACACTGGGCAGCTAGGGGATAGATAAATCACCTGAGTAGCTCGGTGTACTGCAATAATTGTCTACTGAAGCCTTGTCGAATACATGAGAAGATTCTGTGTTGTTGTTTTGTTTTTTTTAAATTTCAATTCAACAAATACATGCACATAGTTAACATTATTAGATGCTAGAAAGGCCGACATTTGCTCAGGAGCAAATGCAGCAGATGGCTTCACCAAATCTGTACCCTCAAAGATTACCTATCCATGCCAACATGTATCTGTTGGAGATTGCAAATGCCATCAGGTCACTTGGTAGCCAAAGTTTAATCTATTTAACGAAGTAGCAGGGGGAGAAGCAGAAACACAAGAAAAATTATATTTTTCATCAATATAAATATGGTATGAAGTAATATATAACTTAAAATACAACAGTTGGATAGCTAACATCCATAGATATATGTAAAGATATATGTAAAGAACCAATACAAACATAAACCGCACACAAAAAATCAATACAGCCATACACAATACAAAATAAATAGAGAAAAACATAGGGACAGGTGACAAAGCAAACAATGCTAAATTATATGAAGAATAGCCTAACACAAAAAAACATCCAGTTAATTGACCAAACTCAAAAGGTACAAAATAAGCACTGTCATTGTACAAAGTAAAGGCAATCAAATGATAGGACACATAAGTTGTATTGAACTGTATTGGGCTATGTTGTTTGATAATGTGTGTATTGTTTGATACAGGCTGCGGAGTGGAAAGGTTCACCTGTGACAACGGCTTCTGTATCGAGAGGGACCGTGTGTGTGACGGCAACAACGACTGTGGCGATGATAGCGACGAAATGGACTGTGAAGGTATAAAGGGTCAACAAAACCTTAGCTTCACACAAAGTAGCTATAGGCGATTGCTACTAGCAGCTCAACTAGACCTATACGGTCTAGTCTTCTTAGTCATCAGTAACGATGGTTTGTACTTTATGAAAGCATTTGAAGTCAAATATTTTCAAACCTCCATAATTATTCAAATTTGAGATGCCAACTGAAGTTTTCCCAAATCCATTTTCAACCTGTGTATGGTGCAAAAGTTGAAAATATCTGTATCAAAATTATGCTCAGATGATTCATACATGTGTTGTGTGGCATTACGTATACATTCATGGTATTTTATTTTGTAAATCACACTACAAATTGACGTCTTTACGTTGTGTTTAATTTTCCTCGTTTTCACATCGCTCGTTTTCTTTCTTTTTTCCAGAGGAGTTGCAGACGTTTGGTATGTGTGCTTGTTCATGCTTCCGACTAGAGACATCTTAGTTATTTCACACAGGCTTTTATTAATTTTTATTCTAATTTCCTGCAAAAAATGCTTCATGTTTCATATTCCATCGTTCGTCTTTTGTGTTCACATATTATTGTTTTTGAAATTCCACAGTTACTCAGCGATGGTGTGGACATGTTTGTTAAAAAAACCTTCCTTCCACAGGGTGTAAGAATGCTTTTGTGTGCACCAATGGAGAGTGTATCTCCAAACCGTGGGTTTGTGACGGAGAGGACGACTGTGGGGACTACAGTGACGAACGGGACTGTGGAGGTCAGAAACTTCATCGTATCTATGCTGCAGCTATTTTGATTAGGCATATGCATGTTGGTTTGATTGTATGGATGACATCTATGCGCGCATGAATTTACGTCTGTTTCAAAAAAAAATTGACCACACTGTAAGTCGTGGAAGCAGATGCAAAATAAGCAAATGTATGCCGTAAATTGCAACAATACTGGAAAAATACTGGAAAACAATGCTAATGTCGTAGAATGACTGTTTCATTGTTTGTGTATATTTTGGGTTTATGGAAAATGGAAAAGAAAAGAAAAGAAAATTTCATACATTGTGTTACATTTTGTTTTATAGAATATACATCTATACATATGCATATTTTATTAACCCACCGGCTAATGTATGAATGGATGGATATGCTATGCTACCCCTAAATCTATATATATAATTGATCAATTTATTTACCGGTACTAAATACTATAGATAAGAAAAACATTAAATAAAGAATTGTCAACTTTTCCAACTATCACGTTTTCTGACCTAAAAATAGATAAATGTGATAAATAGTCAAGTTTATAGCTCATCATCAGTATACATGTATATATATATATACCTGCAGATCCCATCCGGCCTGTTCGGCTGATAGGCGGGCGCAGTCCCCACGAAGGTCGCGTGGAGGTGTTTTACAACGGCCAGTGGGGGACGATCTGTGACAACATGTGGGACGACATGGACGCCAAGGCTGTGTGCGCTCAACTGGGAGTAGAGTGAGTTTCACCTAATAGTAATATCCAAGATCTTTTGGTAGCCGTAAAGAAATAATCAAATTGGCCAGGCTGTATCCATTGTCTAGACAATGGCGAGATAGTAACTGTATGGCTAATGGATACATCCCGTGTGCTATCAAATGGTGTTTTCTTTTAAAAGTGGGTGCCACCATAAAATATCGACAGAAAACATTCGGAGGCAGAGAGATTCGTTCGAGTTTACTGGCTTGTTTCTTTCCATGCTGTCAAGATAGATGTTACAAAATGTTACCTGTTTTCCTAGCCGCGGCGACTGTTGCAGTTCTTCTCTTGCTTGCAGTCTTTTACATTAGCCCTAACAACAGTCGCGGAGCGGTGCATTGGACCAAATGAACAAACATGCGAACCTCCGTGCCGGAACACTTTGAGACCGAAGTTTGCACGTCCCTAGATTCCTAACAGCCTCACCTAACGTGCCCGGGTGTTTTGTGCGTCAACCGGCCCCTGCGCGACTCGTACCGCCACTATTTGCGATCGCTCTCCATCTATTCATAAGCCGAGTGGCCGCCATCTTGGTCAGTAGCGCGCTGAATCAGTTACTTGCAAATGTACCACTACTTTTATGATCTATAGAAATAGCTTATCAGAAAAGTAGCGGTAAATTTGTAGGCGGCTGATTCCAATCGAAAATGGCGGCCAACTGTTATGTTTTACATGGGGAGCGATCGCCAATCGTGGCGGTACGAGTCTCGCAGGGGCCGGTTGACGCGCAAAACAGCCCGCGGCACATTAGGTAAGGCTGTTAGGAATCTAGGGACGCAAGCAAGAGAAGCCCTGCAACAGTCGCCGCGGCTACTGTTTTCCCAACTTTTAAAGAATTTTTATAAACACTCAAATAAGATATTTTATCATAAAATAAGTTTTAAAAAATTGAGTGTGCCGTCGTCATTTATATCAAATGTTGGAATAAAAGAAAGAACTTCAGCCAACCTTGGTGTTCGGGGAAAGGTTCTGAATATGTGACAGGGGATTAACAGAAACGTTTTTCTTGTACCCAACAGAGGCGTGTCTAAGGCCCGCCGTGCAGCGTTCTTCGGTAAAGGCGATGGGCCCATTCTGTCCTACAATACCCAGTGTGTGGGCAACGAGACGGCGCTTGCTGAGTGCGACAGATCCCCCTGGTTCGTGCACGAGTGCGACCACAGCAAAGATGCCGGCGTCATTTGTGACTACTCTCCTTCAAGTAAGGCTAGCTTTGGGGAAATATTGTAGATTTTATTTGCAAATTCATGCCCTAGGCCTAAGTGTAATACGACACAATGTATACAACATACAGACAATGCAATGGGGAGAAGTGGAGCAAGTGACTATTCCATAAATTGCTACAGAATACAATCTAAACCTTTTGGGGTTTGATTTCTTTTCTGGAAGCTGTGGATGACGAAGTGTCCCACTTCAACGAAGGCAAAGCCAGATTGTTTTATTTTATTATCCAAAACTATGAAAAAATATGCACTCTCAAAAGACCTTTTGCAAATATATCTAACTCTACGACAAATATCAACCCTATGAAAAGAGCCATATCTCTACGATGTCAAGAATATAATTCCACGTAAAGTGATAATAATTATTGGCATTAATGAATATTTAAGCAGCAAATTCCCCCTACATTCCTGCCAACCGAGACCCTTCAAATGCCGGTCATCAAATCCAACTTTCTACCCAAATCCTACACTTTCTAACTTCAAAAATTTTACCCCTATTTCCTATTCCTTCATTCCTTGGAAACATGCAAACCTAAAGATCTTGCGACATTTCATGACATGTCATTCCACGCCCTCATCACCCAGATTACCCGCCTCCTCTTACAGCTTTGCCCTTCGCAGACGACATTATTGGTCCTTGCCAAGATGGCTTCCAGTACTTCAACGGTTCCTGCTTCAGATACGTGGTGAATGGCGTCAACCTGTCCTGGTGGGATGCGCAGAGAGCATGCCGGGACATGGGGTCCGATCTTGCCAGTATACGATCTGTGAAGGTACGAAATCAAACCTAGGTTGATTATTTGTGTAAAAATGTAGCTCTTTTCAAACGTTACGTGATGCGAACAATAGTAATTTTAGTAGAATTTCAAACATATAACATTGTGTAATAAAGCAGCAATGACTTCTTCAATGAGGTTTTTACGGTATTGAAAATAGATTGTCATCACAACATACTAAAAGATGAGTTTATGACTTAGGTAAATACATATGATTCAAACGGGACGGGAGACGTTATCGACTTCCAAGAACCTTTAACTCATTACTGAGCGATTGGGTTTCAAACCAAGGTAGCTGAAGAAGGCTGATTGATTGTTTGACTTGGGGAATAGTTTAATCATCGTTCCACAACTTTCCAACAATCTTAATTCTACTAACGCAGATGAACTTTCATGCTAGCCAACGATTTCGTCTTACGTATCCTCGATTAACCCCTATTGTGCAGTGGGGCAAATAAAAATCGAAACCATGGATCTAGATCCGGGTTTATCCAATGATGAATAGTAACTGCGTTGTGATATTTTAGATCGGGTATGTTACAGTAGCGTGCGTGCTATCACTGTGACAAATGATGCATAGATACACCAATTCATTTCCATTATAGTACATTGGCTAATCAATGGCTATTCTCTTGGAGAGCTTTATTCCACTAAAGCCACCAAAATATAGGTCTTAAGGTAGACTACTCTGGATGAAAATCTCTTGTTTTATTATGTATTAAGGAATGAAACATGAACAGTGCCAAATCTAAAGTGAAGAGATATGTCTTATACAGCGAAGTCCAAATTTTGCCCAGGAATTGTAAAAATATAGAAAATTGTAGACATAGTTATTAACTTAAAGGTTAGCTACTCTGGAGGAAAGATGGTATTACTATGAAAATATTATTATGTATTAAGACATGAAACAAGAACAGTACCAAATTGAAAATGAAGAAATATGTCTTGTACAACGATGTCCTGATTTTGTCGAGGAAGTGTCGAAATATCCTTCTCTGTACGTTATTTATCGCCCTGATGTGTTAGCAAGGAGTATGTGGAGAGTAAAACTCTGTTTGCCGCGAAATGCTAGCCAGGAATTAGTGGAGAGTAAAACCCCTTTTTGCCAGGCAAAAATATACTTATTAAGGTAAGCTACTCTGGAGAAAAGGTTCTTGTTTTATTATGTATTAGGACATGAAACAAGAACAGTGCCAAATTGAAAATGAAGAGATATGACTCTTGTACAACAAAGTCCTGATTTTGTCCAGGAATTGTAGAAATAAAGAAAATTGCAGAAATATGGTTATTAAGGTAAGCTACTTTGGATGAGAGTCTCTTGTTTTATTATGTATTAATAATAAGAAATGATACATGAACCGTGCCAAATTGAAAATGAAGAGTTATGTCTTGTACAACAAAGTCCTAATTTTGCCCAGGGATTGTAGAAATATAGAAAATTGCTAACATACAGTTATTAAGGTAAGCTACTTTAGATGAGAGTCTCTTGTTTTATTATGTATTAATAATAAGAAATGAAACATGAACCGTGCCAAATTGAAAATGAAGAGATATGTCTTGTACAACCATGTCCTGATTTTGCCCAGGAATTGTAGAAATATAGAAAATTGCAGACATGTAGTTATTAAGGTAAGCTACTTTGGATGAAAGTCTCTTGTTGTATCATGTATTAGGCCATAGCAAGTACTTATTATGGATGACATCAGCGCGCGCATTAATGTTTGCCTGATTTTGGAAAATAAATTTTGTTGCCTTCTGACAGTGGTCAACATGCCGAAAATGGGCAAGATGTCTGTTGCCATGCCGGAAGGTGGATTTCAGATAACTATGAAGAGAAGAGACAAGAAAAGACTCTGGTTTAATGTTTTGTTTCTTACTTTGATGCAGTGATATGTGATGCTGGCTGTGTATATGTGATGTTCCTACTGAATTAAAACCATTTGTACAATGATTGAGTCAAAATTTTAAAATGTAGGAACCTTGTTTTTCTCGGCCCGTCTTTTTTTTCTCGCCCGGTCGCATTAGATTTGGAATCTGCGGAGGATGCCATCCATAAAATTTACTTGCTGTGACCTAATAAGAAATGAAACATGAACTGTGCCAAATCGAACGTGAAGAGATATGTCTTGTACAACGATGTCCTCATTTTGTCCAGGAAATGCAATTCGTCAAATTCATGTTAAATCAAGAGTGGGAGGATCAAGTCGTGATGAAGAATGTGTACATCGGCCTGTCCGACTTGGATACCTTCGGGAAGTACACCTGGGTGGATGGAAGTCCATTAAGGTGGGTTTCTTGCGTATGGAGCACATTCTTTTTACATACAGGAAACAAATTATAGACATCAATAGTGGTGATCTGGGATACGTATTAAACCCAGTTTGAAGGCACGGTCACATCACGGTCCCAACCCGGGGCCCGGCCGGGCAGACGTATGGAACGAAAATTATGATATGAGACAGCAAAATACACACAAAAAAGTTTTAGAAAATTAACCATGAGCACTATTTGTGTATACTCTTAAGACAAATTGTTTATTTTTCGTTCACGCAAACAACCCGGCCGGGCCCCAGCTTAAAAATGTGACCGTGCCCTAACTTATATCTTGCAACATGTCTTAGGTATCCTGTTCCATAACTTGTAGAGTGCAGAGAACAACGATGAAGAGTTTATATATAACTATTTACTCCATACTGAATACTTGACGTTGGAATGAGAATATGTATTCAGCAGCATATCCTTCGTGCCAGTACCATTGGAGTTTGCTCTCACAAAAAGGGCTATTTTTATTTCAAATTTACGAATTCAATGACGTTTTTTTTTTCTTTCAGTCGAAGTAATTAGGGAACACAATCTAACTACGCATGGAAGTCTATCAAATATTTGTCCGTCAGTTTAGTTTTACCGTAACTGCCAGTACAAGAAAAGTCCACGTTCTAATCTAATGCTCGCTGGTCCCCAGTTACACGGACTGGAAACCGCTTTTCGAGCCGGAGGGTAAGCTGAACGAGCGCTGCGTCATGATGGGAATAGAGTCGGCCCACAGGACCAGCGACTGGGAGAACGTCCCGTGTAATGAGTACTGGGCTGACAGGTTTCTTTGCCGTACGAGTTCTCCGGGCGTCCGTAGGGAGAGTGAGTCGTCATTTTTGTGTTTCTATAATATACTCTCAGTAATCCCTTCTCTAAAAGCTTTGACGTCAGATATCATTGCAACGATGTCACGACAATTCGTCACCTGGGACAACTGGATCCCTAGCAGTTCGGGACAAGTTGGTGCCAGGCCTAGGACAAGTCGGCGCCTAGCCCCAAAACTCTATGACTGAAATTGCCTATAAAAGTATAATACTTTGAACCAAAAAACACACAAATTGTGTGTTGTGAGTATGGTACCAACTGCTAGGGGCAGAGTTGGCCCAGGTGCCGAGGTGTCTGAGAACCCATTGCAACCATTGCAACAGCGGCACCTAGTCTAACCGACATGGCATGACGACACCCCGGCCTCCCAGCTATGATGTGTATGACTTGCAACTTGTCCGCATGTACATTGTATTTTACACACATTAGTATTTTGCTGAAGTTTTGAGTATCATTACATTATACAGGAGACAGTGGTGTTTAGGTCACCTTGTGTTTGATAATTTTATCCCATTCCTCAGAAATCTGGAGAGATATGTCTTTTCAAGGACTGAGAATCACGTATGACAGTGAGTATATTACAAATATTAGATCCATTTCCCAAAATAGTGTTAGTTACTGTGGATTTATGGCTGTTTTTTTTTTACTACAGTTTGCTCACCCAAAGTCGTTCAAAATTGTACATTGTAACATTGCCAGGGCCTAGGGAGACTATGCTTTCTGGTGTACGCTCGCTGGCATAAAGTGTGCACGAAAGTTTGCTGGTTATATCAGATGATGCCTGCACTTTCTAAACTATAGATGTTCACACCTACACTCCTAACGTACTTCCACATATCCTTGACATTATTATGCCCAAGTAATTAGCCCTACTTGATATAATACTTACACTTGTGTTATTACCTAGGTTGTTAAGCTTCACTTTATACCCTTTTCTTTTTGTACAATTTTCAATTATCGTTGACATACATTGTACCTCCTGACATTATCGTCCAATAAAGTTCTACATTGTCATTCAATGAAGTTCTTCTATCCTCCCCCAGCGTGTTCGCCGGCCTGGTATCTGATCCGGTCAACCTGTTATAAGCTGATATCGTCCCCCGACGACCGCGGGCTGGACTTCGAAGTGGCGCAGAACATGTGCCGGAGCGACGGCGGGGACGTGGCGGTGGTCGACACCAGTGGTGAGTACCTACTTTAACCTGCAATGCTGGATATCGAATCTTATGCTTAGGTCCCAATTGTGTCAATGCCCGTCGGGAATGTAGCCCCTGTCTGTGGTCTGTGACGTAACAAATTTGTCCAGGTAGACTGCCGGCAACCGGAAGGGTACCTCTCGGTGTTTTCATGGTTTCGTTTTTTTTTCCGTTTGTTTCGGTAGCCTTTAGTCCATGACTATTCTTCCAGGGTTCAAAACATATAAACATACGAGCATACTGACAGAAAAATTAAAAGAGAATGAACATACATAATCATCACAACTTTTATACAGGTTAAACAAAAGGTTCATGACTTAACTTAATATATACAATATAACGTATGTATAACTGGTGGATGGCCTTTTTAAATCGACGTGGACTGGTCAGTGTATATCCTGTTAGGTCGGATAGATCACGGCGTCTTTTTGTCAGCTGAGCCCGGGTAGAATTTAAGACAGCACTAAAATTTTTTTCGGTTCCCAGCAGGGCCGATAAATAGCCCGGTAGTCGCAGGGTGTCCCACGGAGGGGTATCCCCTAAAAGTGCCGAGAACAGCCCGGGGACTACCCGGCAGGGCCTAGTAGGCAGGGAAGCTTTACCCAATTGGGACCTAAGCATTTCTGGCGGCTGCATACAGCACTTCTAGATTTATGGGTTGTTCAAAACTGTATCTTGTTGCGATTTTTGTATCTCTTGAATCTGCATTTTGCTCTCTCTAGATCTCTTTCTCTCTGCTCTCTGCTCTTTCTTGCTAGCATTTGCTGTGACATGTTCTTGATGTTGCGATATGGCATGAATTCAGTCTATATATTACTAGCATTCTCTACGGCGCAGCATTCGCATGAAAAAGCATGACAGAAACGAGCGGCATCCCCTGAAGCATTGTACCCGTGCACACACCACCAGAGACTGAGTACATGTTACAGCGCAGCATGGGTGAATTTTTCTTTAGCATGAGCGTGCATGGCAAGACCGCCAATAAACACACGACCTATCGTCAGTCTTGCTCCAACCAGATTTGCTTGAGACCATCAAGTTCTACCTGAAGTATCTGTGGGGTCTGGAGAAGAACCAGAGCGTGGGAGTCAAGGCGTCGGCGGTGAGTCACGACTCGTGTCAGCTCATCGTGCGCACGATGGTGGACGACTCGGCGGGGATGGGCGCGCCTGAGTGGGACATCAACAGCCGGGACTGCTTCCTCGTGTCTCCCACAAGATACATGTGTTCCACCAAACCCACAGGTTACAATTTTACAGTCATATGTTTGAAGCAAGTGTGATACTGTGCCAAAACTACGACATTAATATTTTTGGGAATAATCAGTCTCCTCGTCCATTAGTACGTACTAATCTTACTAATATTAATAATCAAAATAAATAATTAATAGTTAAACTTGTCAATCATGTAGCTTCAGTTGACAGTTTTTTTAACTTTGGAAAGACTCCACATGAATCACAAGTACAATCTTTTAAATTAACAATATCACAGTAGACTTTAACATTGTGGGATTTATGTATGTACCAGTAACGAAGTAAAACATGTGGGATTTACTATATAGTTTTCTGTGTATATTGATGATGTAGGAAAATATGTAAGAAATCTGATGCAACGAAAGTTTGAATATAATTGAGTTTGCAGATTAAACAAAAATCTAACTTAATCGTTTCAAACAATAAGTATGTTCTTCTGGTATCATTCCGTAGCGATGGCCAACAGGTGTCGACCAGACGATTTCATCTGCGGGAACGGGGCGTGCATCCTGTCAGACTTCGTCTGCGATGGCGACAACGACTGCGGAGACAACAGCGACGAGAAGCAGTGTGGTGAGTTTGGGCGCGGTCGTGCGATCGTACGAAGGCATTATTAGGATAGTCTTAGCCTGGAGTCCAGGAGTCCAGCCTTGTTGGCGGGACGGGCTGAAGCTAACAAGGCTGGACTCCAGGCTAGGATAGTCGTTCATGTGTCCTATATACAAACTTCAGCTGTGTTGTTAGAGAAAAGGCTGTCTTAGATTCTTGTTGGTGTTTGCTTCTGTGACAGCCTGCTGCATCGAAATCGTACGTTTGACTCCTTCGTCCTTGTCTCATTCGTCACGACTTTGATGCCGAAGAATTCTCAAGAAAGCTGAGACAGAACGTCACAAATGGCCGCCTAGAATCTACGTCTTTGGTATGACTTGGCTGGGATCGAACTCACGACCTGCCAAATGCAAGGAGAACGCTTTAACTACGCGTGGCCATTGTACCTGTTTTGTAGCGGTAAAAATTGTCAGTTTGTCATTGTCAATGGTTCACATTTGTCACTGAATTCCGTTGTTTTTTTCAGACCGTGGCCCGTCGATGTTTAAGTGTGGGAATGGCAAATACCTGCCGATGGCTGCCTACTGTGACTACATAGATCAGTGTGGGGACAAGTCGGATGAAAGCCTTTGCAGTAAGTTTAAGCCCTTGTCACACATTGAACAGAACATTGCCCCCACTACCCACCAACCAACCAAGGTTGGCTGAAGTTCGGGAGAAGTCTAACCAGATTTAGGTCACGCCTAACTTTTCATGCAATTGAAATCAAATTTGAGTTAAATTTGAGTCACATTTCAGGTCATATTCAAATATGTCTCTATTGGAAGTTAGTTTTGTAATGGCTACCTAGTGTAAAGTAACTCCATACCACTCAGGTTTTCAACTGCTATGTGGAAAGTACTGGTTGGAAAATTGAGTAACTAACATAATCATAAAAATATTTGTACTGATGTATAACAGATGAATAGATGAGATGTCAAGTTAAATTGTAGAACCTAATAAAGTCAAATATGACTTGGACGATATTTTTCCATGTCTAAGAAAAAATAAGTTCAGTATCAGCCCAGTATCCATCCCGAGCATACTTTATCGGTGCTAAATTGGATGGATGCTGGGCTAATCATATCTATTGAGTAATCTGACTTTGCATGTTTGTATACAGAGTACCCAAACTGCCAAGCCGGAGACTACCGCTGTTTGAACGGGCAGTGCGTGCCGTTGGACAGGCGGTGTGATCTGGTCAACGACTGTTTGGACGGATCTGATGAGCTGAGCTGCCGTAAGAACATAACCCTTATACTACGTATTCCAGGCCAGCAAAACTGTATTTTCAAAGTCAATTTTCTGACCATTCTCATAATGTAGTAAGTTGAATCAATCCTATTATGATATACTGATGTTTGTGAAGATGCCATGTCGCTTACGGAAAACGGTTGCTTGTTCTGTATCTTTGGATGGTTCTAGCTACATTGTATTTATGTTTAATTTATCATAAAGAGACGTGTTCTGTTTCAAACGTAAAATGTGCTACGAATTGGCAGTAAACGTCGATATCAGTTGGATTTCCTCATCTAGAACATTTCCTATTGTTTTGCCGCGCTGCAATTGCATTGGATGAATATAAAGTTAACATCTAGCAAACTGAACTCAAATAAAAATCTTCATCACTTTAACTTTCCAGCGTTATAACAAAAGAATAAAGAAAAACGTGAGGATATAAAACACAAAAGCTACAAACATGATTATCTCAGCGGTTGATAAATAAGACCATTTTGTTTTCATAGAGCCCAGAGAGTGCAAAGGCATCCTGTGCAGTGTGAACAACACTTGCATTTCGGCCAGTGCCAAATGTGACGGGCAAGTCGACTGTCCAGGGCGGGAGGACGAAAATGGGAAACTGCGGGAGGACGAGCAAAGCTGTCGTGAGTATTACAAGAGAACATCTCAAGCAGTCCACAACGTTTCATCCTCCTGTGTGTGTGTGTGTGTGTGTGTGTGTGTGTGTGTGTGTGTGTGTGTGTGTGTGTGTGTGTGTGTGTGTGTGAGTGCGTGCGTGCGTGTGTACGTGTGTGTGAACGCGTGTGTGTGTCTTGAGCATAACAACATCCTATTAAGCCCTGTTTCAATAGTCCCTCGACCTTCCCTGAATCTGTTCCCGAACACCAGCCGTCCAGTTCGGTTGACGTCCCGGAGAAGTCAGACCTGAGAGATTGGACCGGACGTTCCGCTAGTGTTCGCTATTGTTCGGGAGGCCAAATTCGTGAATGTCTGTCCCCTATTCAGTGGCCTATTCCAGTTTATGAAGCCCTTGACAAGAGACCATGACTCCATTCCTAACGTCACCGTGTATCTCTGTTCATAGCCGGGATGCCGCCGGATGTGCAGAGCGACGCCTGCCCGTTCCGATGCGCCAACGGGAAATGTACCGACCGCTCCAGCCTCTGTATCTTCGACAGAGACATCTACGGCTCTCCCCGGTACTGCAGGGACCTGACACATTTGAGATACTGTGGTACGTGTAAAGTAAAAACGATAAAATATATATTTAAAAAAAAACTTAGCAGAAACTATAGCAAAAGAATAGAATGCTCAGAATAGCCAATTATTATATATCTGTGTTTCCGTCTTGTCCTGTCATTGTATATCTTGGAGTTTTGTCCAATATATAGGTGAGTTTTATGGATCTATTTTTGGCCAAAAGACCCTAGCAACACACATTTCCTCTGACCTACGTCTGTGGGTCACTACACTTCCAATAGAAGCGGTGTTCTCTAGTGTTAGGAGACATTTTTACGATCGTGCTAATTGTGCAACTAGCTTACATATATCAGCTTCAAATTACCCAGAGTCAGACCTTTCCTTTGTTTCCTGCCGGAGGTATTTTATATAGCCCCATGAAAGTGTCCGTTTTTTTGCATTTCGGCAAGTGTTTATTGAGGTCTATAAATCGATGGACGCGGCTGGGTTCAAGCCTGGCCAACTCTGTTGTCTGTTCAGCCCATTTAAGAAAGAAAGGCCAAACGTCGCCTGGAGCTATAAACACTACCCCATTACAGACGGGGAATTGGTCATGATTTATCATTACCTGACGTGGGTCAATAGTTCCCGTAGTTTAAAATGTTAGTTGTTGATTTAAATGTACGTAACTTATGATCTCAGCAATGACTAATGTTTTCTTTTCTGCACTTGAACTTTCTCTGTCGAACATAACAGATAAATTGTCATTCTACTGTAAATTTAACAGTGTAATCTGTGGGTTTTAAGACTAACGATGTTATATTTATTTTGTACAATGGTTTTTTCATGTCGTATTTTCCCAGCATCATTTTTGACGGTCTAGAAACCCTAAGAAAGAACCGTCATGTTCAAGTGGTAATGGTAATTTCATGGTTAATAGGTATTTCATTAGGTTAAAGCATCCTTAACCTGAATGAAGCCAAACGAAAAGATTTTACCTTTGTGTGTTAAGAAAAATCAATTACCTGTCTGCCATTGGGACTCCAGGTGCCGGTGTGACAGTTACGTGTTATTACCTTATCGACAAAATGTCAGTTGACGTATAGATATGAACATTTGAGCGAGGCCCGGTCATAGCTAAAGGCACTGGCATGCAAATAAATGACAGGCATGCCGATATCATAGGGACTTTGGTCTTGAAAAACGCAGCATGTAAATATTATGTTCCAGAAAAAAATGATGACCAATTATACATTGTAAAAAATTTAGATACATTCTTAAATCTTAGAATACAAAGACATTGACCTTTTGAAGAACATTTATATCAGCGTTGGTACCTGGAATACTACAGCACCATGGTCAACAATATACTTTGCAATTAAAAGTGTTAGACGAGACACGAGAGCTATACAATTCTATCAACTGGAGGCATAGCAGCTGTAACAACATTGTATTAGACTAGAAGAAGATTCTCAAAAAAGCCTAGACAATAAATAATACTTAGCTTGTTAGAGCACAAACGTACAATAAAGGTCTTTCATTCAATAAGGAACGTAGCCCACCCTGTACATACCTAGGCCAGTACCATAGGATCATACCTCGATGTGTTCTGGTTATTTCAATGTATGATGTGGTATCAAAAGGTCCAGGTGGGTCAACGTTGTTCTGTGGACTTTTATGCAAATTTATGGAAATTACTCAAGATACCCAATATAAAAATAAAGCACATAACTGGAGTATCATTTTATAACTTATCTACGCCCCAACTTGTTTCAGGTCTAACGTTCTAGATTATATGCCAGAATTTGCATTTTGTTGAGTTAAACTAACGTTTTAAGATATAAAAGACAGAGCGTAGGCGGTGATTTTGTATCTAATTCGTTTACAGTTTCATTACGGACTGAAGACAAACAGTCATGTTCCCGCAATGACGCATGAACACGTACTGTCATTCATTTTGTGACAAAGTTGACCTTTGCGCAGCAGACGGTATCGTTTATCAACAACCCTTTCTACTCGTGTTAGGAGGCAGATATATAGATACCACTATAAGTATGGAAACAAGAAGATTTCAGAAAATACCTGCTGACCAGAGGGTTTGTCCATTCTGTCCAGAATCAATAGAAGACGAATACCACTTTTTGATTGTTTGTCCCAAATATTCTGATATACGTAATTCATTATATGCAACTATATCAACTTCTATACCAGAATTTCTCGTCATGAATTCATCTAGCAAATTCAGATACTTGTTGACTTTTGACAATCCATACATTGTGAATATAGGACAGTATTTTAAAGAATGTCTAAACGTAAGAAATTCTCTTAATGATTGTATAAGCGCCTTTTCATCCCATATCACCTAGTATTGTACTACGTAGACTGATTTGTTAGATTTGTTCTCTCATTTCTGCCATACTTTGTACCTTGTACATTGTTGCGTAATAAAAGTCCATATAAAGGTTGGCCTCTGAAAGCTATAGTTAAATACACTAAAGCAATGACACATATAAAAGTACTTTCCCACATTTCAATCTGAAAAATTCTTCTGCACCAGAGAGTCTAAGGTTCTGCCTCCCAAATATACAAAGAAAACTGGTTTTAAAATATACAGCTCAAATATAAAGCTCAAACAGCTGACAACAGTGAACAAGACGTAATGTTGGCCTCGTTTTATCATGTATCCATCCGCTCTGGGCAGGCAAGACCTCATCACTCAGGTCTCTCATTACGCCCGAAAAACTTGGAAAATAAACAAAACTGAACCAAAGCATCCGTAGGAAAGTTTAGACCCTACCTGTTCCTTCTAGCCAAAAAATTTCCAAACTGGGCCAAACTTTTGAAACGCAAAATGGTCTTTGCAACTATGGACTACAATATTGTTCCCATTTTGGGCCCATCACTGCACACCACAATAGTGACGTCAGCCCTAGAAACATGTCTGCTCAATAAAGTGACGTAATTTCCGGTTTTCTGTTCCCCAGAACGTTTCCAGTGTCCCGGGATGTTCAAGTGTGAACGCAGCTACTGCATCCCACTGCGCATGGTCTGTGACGGGTCACGTGACTGTCCTGGAGGAGAGGACGAGTTGTCCTGTGGTATGATTCTTTTTTTACTATAAACATTTCATGATTTCGTGATATTTTTTTGGCAGTGTATTGTATTGTATTTTTATGACTATTGTATGTTATTGTAGGAATTTGTATTTCATGTCAACAATTGTTCGACATTGTAATTTGTATTGTTCCGTATTTATATTACTGTGTTTGGGAGGACAACTTGTAAAGGTGTCAATATTCTACAAACAGAGGTTTCGAATTTGGCTTATTTTTGGCGTGTTTTTAGGCGTTTTTATCGGGCTGTCTTTATTGTTACTGTATCATTTTTACGCCAGCTTGTCTAACTATCAAATGGATACTGCTTGGCCAATTTGAAATTGTCTTGCAGCCACCGGATAATCTCAATTCTGAATGAATTCCGGAGGGCAATTCTGAGTAGTTCAAATTGTGCAACACAGGTGTCGCTGCTATAGATGCGTTCCCAAACGTGAAATATTGCAGTCCCAAACATGCCCTGAGGAAGGTCACAGAGGGAAAAGTCGGCTGAATAAAACACAATTTTTGGTTTTGTGTAAATAGTTTCTTTATTTAGTGTCTTACCAACCTGATGAAACTATTGACGGATGTGAGAGAGTTAAAATCATCTTTTTTAAGTTTTGACAAACAAGACAAACAGTTTAATAATAAAAACACCTAGGTCAATCCCTTAGTATGAGTTAATAATATGAACTCACGGGACGCAAGGTAAGTATGCGTGCGTCTGGACGCCGAAACTGCAGTTTAAAAATGATGATTCATTAGGTTTACTCAATAAAATAAAAAGTATACATTAATATATTGCACTAGTTGACTATTGCACTTCCTCGTGTATCAAGCTATTTACAGGATGAAAACAGTCCCATGGGTTTGTCCCAACCAACAGTATTTCTTGCACAGTATATGACATACGATGTACAGATTGCACATTTGCCCAGTCTGGTTTTCAGGTGTCGTACTTCCCTGTCCTTGTGGTTAACAACACATGATGATCTTAACTTCGAGGTTTAACTTACTGGTTTCAGAAAGCTTCAGTTGTCCTGGGCACTACAGATGTAAGGTTGACGGTGTGTGCATCCTCCAGAGGCAGCGGTGTGACGGGATCGTCCACTGTCCCACACTCATGGACGACGAGAAATACTGTGGTGACGGTACGGAAGGCCCCATTCATTCATACAATAGTTTTTTTCTGCATGCCTACTCTGATGTAGCCTCCATAGCATGTCAAAAACTGGGGATTTGGGGGGTCTTCAGGGTCTTTGGGAGCTTTTATGTGCTATTTTTTGATTGCATATACATGTAGACAACATAGCCGGCCTGGTTGAATTACCCCCGTTTTTTGAACCGTTCGTTTTTAGAACAGCCGAAGACCACCAAACCCCCAGTTCTATAAGACTGCTACGGAGGCTAACTCTGATGCAGGTAACATTCACTACTGGAAAAGTGGTAGTAAAATGCCAGTAGAGTCTGGTAATAATTACTTTGTAAACTGTACCGGACTTGAAGATGGTAGTAAATAAAAATCAAGGCCGGTAATTTTATTTACGAAGTTAACATCAAGTTGTTTCTAACCGGGCTTGACTTTTTATACAATACAATAAGCTTCATCTCTCACCTTCAATGTCATTCATTTTATATTGACCGTAAACCGATTACTAGTTTGCTGATCGAATTAGCTGACTGGTCTTCATTCCCCTTGTAGGCTACCGGTGCCCTGATGGTTGTAGATGTGAGAAGGGCGCTGTCTTCTGCCAGGGAGCTGGTTACAGACAGGTTCCAAATATGGACCCACAGATCAGAGCTCTGTAAGTCAGAACCTTCTTCTTGGAAGACCCTCCTCTTCAGTGCATGTTTTCACTGACAACTGAAGACAATTTTATTTAAGATATGGACATCTATAGAAATTTTTCAGAAATTTTAATTTACATTATTTTGTATTTGTCCTCTTTGACTTTACAGTGTTATCGGATAAAGGGCATCAATCTGAAATCCAACCATACTAGCTTTAGATACTTAAGTTCAGAACAACATCTAAAGTAAGAGGTATCATCGTCTCCACACATTCTCTTTCAGCTTCCTGTCTGGAAACTTCATTGAACTAAAAAGATCATCGTTCCAGGCGTTCACAATGTTGGGCAAACTGTGAGTATATGCTATTGCCAATTTTTTTTTTCATTCATATAGAAAAAAGTCATAGATTTTACATCGATCCACAATTTGGAAAACGAAGTAAATCGCAAAATTTTCCATCGCTATCCCATTCTTACATCTTCACGTTGACACATTTAGACATGTAATTACAACCGATTTAACACACAATTACATAACGGTATCATGACGGTCGCTTATTCAGGGTCACATTTCCAAGTCGGGACCCGGTCGAGCAGTTTGCGAGAACGAAAAGTATCAAGAACCAAACACATAAAACGATTAAAAGACCATCATAAACATAATTTCATATTCTTAATATGCATTTTTAAATCATTTTTCGTTCATTCAAAAAGCCCGGCCGGGCCCCGGGCTAGAATTGTGCCTCCAGCATTATTACGTACCCATATCTGCAAATGACCACGTATGGTTACCGTTAATCTTCAGATGTTAGTAGCCAGCCTGTTATCAGAATCCACAAGATTACAGAATATAGCAGCCTGCACCTGAACCCTGTATTGATCCGCCTCTTTTGTGTGTGTTTTCTGTGTGATCGATGCAGGGACCTGAGCAGTAACTCGATATCAAACTTGCCCAAGGGATGCTTTGAGGGACTACAGAATGTTTATGAACTGTGAGTATGGCGCGCCTGTCATTACTGCTTGCTGTGCATGGTCTCGAAGTATGCTGATCACAGCGTAGGCGGAGCCGGGGGGCGGTAATTCCCTCAGGCGTAATGTATGTTATTTGCAGAGGGAATTGTGCGGTCTGGTGATATGCAAGAAATCAATGGCAACGTCTTCCCATCATAGTGAAATTGTCTGCGGCCACGCTGCTTTCCTGTGATAATGCGTAAATGTACAATATCGTCATTTGCAATTAGTCAAAGTGGAATATCCATTACAGGATGCCATATAGGTTCTGATTTATGTAAAAATTTGTCGATTTGCTTAGGCCACAGCAAATAATTTTTATGGATGACATCAGCGCGCGCATTCATTTTCGCCTGATTTTGGAGAGAAAAAAACAAGAAATGTTGTTGCCTTCTGACAGTGATCAACATGCCGAAAATGGGCATAGATGTCTGTTGCCATGCCGGAAGGTCGATGGCAGATAACTATGACGAGAGGAGACAAGAAAAGGCTCTGATTTAATGTTTTGTTTCTTACTTTGATGCAGTGATATGTGATGCTGGATGTGTATATGTGATGTTCCTACTAAATCAAAACCATTTGTACCATGATTAAGTCAAAATTTTAAAATGTAGGAACCTTGTTTTTTTGGCCCGCCTTTTTGTTCGCCCGCTCGCATTAGATTTGGAGTCTGCGGAGGATGTCATTCATAAAATTTACTTGCTGTGGCCTTAGTTCGATGGATGGCTGTCAGAATGTTGGTAAAATGACTCCCGGATGATTAAGTACAATTACTTCTTCGATTTGCCTGCGTGTGGTGATCTGTCTTCTGGGGGCAGGTATCAAGTTTCGATTTTTTTGTGACAGTGACTTGAGGAAAAATCGACTGGAGAGGCTGGAAAAGAACGCGTTCGATGGACTGACGACCCTGACCAAACTGTAAGTTTTATTGAACTATTCATCACAAAGTTATATTGCACTGCATAGACAAGTAATAAACTTTTATTGCTGCCCACTTTGGGGCGATATCAGGACCTTTTTTTCACTTCTTTAACAAGACTGGCAATGAAAACATACATTGCCATGGCGACGGTGGTTGCTGTTAGGGTTATTGTTTGCATGGCACTGCCATCATTTCATGATTTTGAGGAAGACTTGGTACCTGTTAAGTCTAGACAGATACAGTACACTCCTCCCCTGAGTGTATAGTGAACGAGCCCCGGAGTCATAGAAAGTAGGGCCATCCGGGGCAGACAGGTCTTCAGCCTTCCAGGAATGTGGGCACAGATGTGGGTCAGAGAAATACCTGTGGACATTCCACATGCCTGTGGACAAAATGCCTGTACAATTCCTAGAATTCTTGCAAACTACGCACAATACTGTACCATTAGGCTCCTCCCTGAGACGTCGCCAAAAACACTAACACACAACTAGAAACGTGCACGTGAGAAAACAAGCACTACAACACATATGTCATGCCATGTACTTATTTTTTAATTGCTTATAAAATCTGTGCATGTAATACTACTTTGATCATTGTTAATACCCAATAATTCTCATACATCATAATCAAAATTATCATTACGTGTATGTATATTGTGATGATGTATCTATGATTATATTAATATATTAATATATTGTGTGTGTCAAATACGGTTGTATATATACCTCTGAGTCAGTAAACAAATAAAAATACTAAACCATTTTCTTATTCTTACTAGGTACCTTGATGGAAACCCATTAAAAGAGATCAAATCTGGGGCTTTTGCTGGATTAAACAAGATCAAAAGCCTGTAAGTACAGTGGGAACGCTTTTGGAATTATTATAACAAGAAGTGTTGTTATGAAAATGACATGAATGGAATTTGTTTTATCTTAATTAAAGGAAAATGTTATGGTGGTTGAACCTGTCAAGAATGCATTTTATCTGTTGATCTGTTGTAGGTAGTTTTGTATAGTAGATTTTTCTGGTTTCCTTAAAACTTTAAAACATTTACACAAATCTTTTGTATGAGAAGTTGACCATACAGCTGGATGATTCTTTAGTTACCCCGTTGAAATATAATATTATTATTGTACACAACACTAAACTCTACAAGTTTTTTGTTCCATTGCATGCCCCCAACGTTCCATGGTCAACCTGATGCTAACTACGGGATGCCTAGGCTGTAGTCCAGCTAAAGTCATTGCCACACATTCGCGAATTTGGCCTCCCGAACGCTAGCCGAACGTCCCCGAAAAAAGTTACGAGTGGGTCTGCAGTGTTCTTGGTAGGTTCGTGGGCCAAATGTGACGAAAATTTAACTCACATTCGTTTATACGTTTCGATTCACATAAGCGTAGATTAAATCTGGTAAGACTGCTCCCGAACATCAGCCGAAACTGGTCGGTTGGTGTTCGGGAACAGATTCGGGGAAGTTCGCGAATGTGTGACAAGGGCTTTACGTTCACACTATGGCATCGGTACGCCCGTAACGTTTTTTTCCGAACAGTATAAGGTGATTAAAGAATTTTCCTGCGAGGTTAACTTCTCTTCTATGGTACCAGTGTCCCCCAGTTGATTCTGCTGTGCTGTAGACAAAGATACATCAGTCACTAATACAACTACCACTGACAGCTATTCTATCCTACATCGCTTATCGCCTAACACTATCACAACAGACTCAGGGATATCCACTCATCATTTCATTTCTATCTCTTGTCACAATTACAATGAATGATACCCTTTACCGTTCTGATTTTGCCAGTTAACACCACGGCTTCTAACACATATTGCCAACCCATGCTAAGAAACTTAACTAGATAAAACCGTTTCTTCTTCACAGTAACTTGAGTTCTATGAACATCCAAGTACTAGGAAAGTCGACATTTATTGGACTTAAGGGACTAAAAGAATTGTAAGTCGTTTTTGCACATCATGCTATCTCACGCGGCTATCATCCTGACTTGGCAAACCCACACACATGCACACACAATGACGAAAAGGAACATGCGTCGACGTGCCATTGAAAAGAATACATTCCTGGACCGTTGGGTTTGAAAAAACGTAACACAAACGGATATAAAATCCATATGATGGAATGAATCATAATGACATTACATCGGAAAACTGTGATTGGCTCAAGACTAATTGGATCCAAGCTAAAGCTGATACTTGAACACGAATCACAGTCTTGGACACAAATTTTCCCTGGCACCTCGGCGATGACGCTGCCTGTTGATGTTGTGGCATTGCAGGGTCCGTGACGGAATACACTCACTGTGCGACTTCACCATTTTGTTCGTAAAACGTCACAGTATATAAAGTGTACATATCAGCCTTTGTTGTAGCATGTCTTCTTACTTTACTTATATATATGTGTGTGTGTGTACTTGTGTGGATGTATTGTGATGAAATTGAGCGTTACTACAGGTGAATTTTCGTGCATACCGATTTTCTGTCGTGTGAGTAGAGAACTGCTGGACAGTACCCGTGGTCAAGCATACTGTGTTTTGTGTTGACTTCAGTTGCTCTGTCATCCACAGTAATTATGACAACTTAATCTGAGTGGTCTACGTTACAGGTACTTGCAGAACAACAAGATCATATCGGTTACACCTGGAACATTTGCTGACCTGCGAACCCTCCATACCTTGTAAGAGCTACGCTTGTATAAAAAAAAAACAGTGGGACTTGTGTTTTAAAATGCGTAGGCCGTTGCCTCAACCATAACAACTTAAAATATCTTAGGATGATGCGGAATATTGTAGCGTAAACTTGGTTGCAAGCAATCCATCCGTACCAATGTAATATCCGTAATATCCGATTTTGGGCTATATTTGTCATATCTAGTCACTTTCTAATTCTAATAAGACTGATGGTAAGTGGCTCTTTCACTCAGAAAAAAGGTACACGTCCTGTTAAGTTTTCGTTGATAATATTGCCGGTCTAATTTGCGCCATAACTTAGCTCCAAGCGGTTATATGCATTGAACAATGGTCTACAAATCCATATCCATCGTCACATTTGCTTTTAACTATATTCAAAATTTCGAAGTTTTGATTGAAACCAATGCACCCAAAACTTTGAAGTACTGAAATTACCGTAAGGTCCACAGATTGAATGTATCCATTAAAGTTAGCATTTGCCCTTCTCAAATTTTTATATTCTGATTGAAAACAACAATGCGTCCAAGACTTTGGGGTACTGAAATAATCGTAAAGTGTCCCATTCCGACAGTATTTCCTGCGTCTCCTAGTCTTACTGTCTCCCCCCAGGTACTTGGATGGTAACAATGTACAGGCCCTTGACGCCACAGTTTTTGAAAGTTTGAGCGTCCTCCAAGAATTGTGAGTAGGCCATAACACAAGTTAGGCCGTTACTTCCGTGCGCTCATGGTGCTTCAAATCTTCTTCTGTTTGTAACATTTGTCTTTCAGTAATCAACCATTCTCCGTGAACTAGGCTGTAACCTTTATAAAAAAAATGATCATACATTATATGAGCCCTTGCACATTATGTTTCCATATACCTGGAATGGACTTCATTGTAGTAAAATGCCAAATGAAAATACTGTTCACATCCAACAAGAGTAAAGCGACATTATATTTTGCGAGTAATACGAGGGGGCAGGAGTTGTAAATTCCAACACCAATCAAATGAAAGTCTTTGAAAATCGGTAGAATTTGTGTAAACCTACACATTTTTAATGTCTTCTTTAACTTAAAACTAAGCTATGATAATGTACCAAAACGTGACGACAGTTGGTAGTAACATGCATATGATAAGTTCACGGTGTGATAATGAACAATGTCTTGTCTAACCATGTGTATGTTACATTAAGGTATACGGACTCCTTCAAAATCTGCTGCATGGCCACGCATGTACCTGTCTGCCTACCGGCTGGCGACGAGTTTTCCTCCTGCAACAACCTTCTCGACGACACCATCCTCAGTCCCGTCCTCTGGATTCTCGGACTCACGTCTTTCTTCGGCAACGCCTTCGTCATCATCTGGTGTCTCCGGACCAAGGAGAAGAGCAGGATCGTCTCCTTTCTCGTTTTGAACCTCGCCATCGCGGATTATCTGATGGGCGTGTATATGCTCATTATCGCCGCTGTGGACATCTACTATCGCGGACAGTATATAAGTTATGACGACTATTGGCGATACAGCAGCTTGTGCCAATTCGCTGGCTTCTTGTACATCGTTTCCGTTGAGATGTCGCTCTACGCTCTTACCATTATAACTATCGACAGAGTCATTAGCGTGTACTGTGCCAAACACCTCCGCGTGAGATCTGCCTGCCTGATCAACGGGCTCGGGTGGCTCATCGCTGGCGTCCTCGCCATCCTGCCGGTGTTAGGATTACCGTACTTCAAGGGAGAGTTCTACGGGCGAACAGGCGTGTGTCTACCGATCCGCTTGACAAACATGTTCGGTACAGGATGGCAGTACGTGGTTACCATCTTCGTGGCCGTGGATTCCGTGCTGGTGCTGATCCTGATGGCCTGTATGATGACTCTCCTCGTGGCGACGCGTTGGAAGGAGAAACTGACGGCTACAGCCGGGGAAAAGATCGCGTACGAGCTGTCCACAGCCTACCGCCTGACATGGATCATCGTCCCGGACCTTTTCACGTGGACACTGTTCACAGTACTCGGAATTTCCTCCCTCTGCGGCATCCAGATCCTCCCCTCTCTTTCCGCCTGGACAATAATGTTCGTCTTACCGATCAACGCCGCGATGAACCCCTTCCTGTACCTCGTCTCCTTCCTGAGGATGAAAACACGCAAGACACACCACATATCCAAGTTCCTGTGCAACAACCAGGGCTTTACTGTGGAGCTGCCCAAGCACAACAACGACAACGGTTTGATGGTCGGTACCGAAATGTCTGATCTGAAAGGTGAGCTCTTTTTTTTCAAATTTTTCATCCTCAAACAAATTGTTAATTTCAAACATATTATCATATCATATTATATTATGTATTATGTTATATCATTATATGGTATTATATATAGTATAAGATTTATTGCAACATGATGTTCCCCAACAACAGTTACCATGTTGACAGACGTCTGGTTAAGATCATTGACCTTATTTGATTGGAGAAGAAGAAACAGAGCAAAAACAATGTTTCCTTCGGTAAAGATAATGACTCACAGGTGATGTTGGTACACTACACTACACTGATAAATTTCATTAATATGATATCATACCCATCATCATAATACATAGTAATTAGCATTAACAATCATCATAATTCCACCTCATCCAATCAAATATTATGATAATAATACATCAAAGTAAATATATTTTTTAAGTTATACATGTGACCTCAATGTGACCTCTGTCGAAAAGCATCAAAATATTTCCTGTGGACTTCCTTCCGTACTTACAACGACAAATCGACAAATTTTGCTACTAATATCAAGTTGTTTATGTATCTAACTTTCAACATTTTAGTAGGACAATAACCAATTGAAACATAACCTCATGTACATTTAATGTTACACTGTGACCCTGTGTACACGTACACTTTATTACAGTACCGACCACTTTCATAAGCGACTCGAACCACCCTACATCGGAGCTGCGTGAGTTTATCCAGACGGTGGACTCGGAGCCCTGCAACCCGCCGCCCCGGGTGGTCCGTGTGGTGGCGGACCTCGGAAGCCAGGTAGGCCACGCGGGTCTCTCCACCATCGAACGGCAGCGGCTGCCGGAGATAACAACATTCGCTGGGCAGAGAACCGAGGTCATGCATCTTTACCATCTTTATATGTTCCCCTGCCCACTCTTTTTGTCTGTCTGGTCTTGTCTGATCTTGTCCATTGCTTCCATATCGAGTTGAAACTTTGTAAGCTTCTTTCATGCATCACCATTGTCCTTACATTTGTTGTTTACTATCTTTACATGTTCCCATTTCGAATTCGGCTCATTTTGTCTATTTGTTCTTGTAAATCTATTTTCTATATTCTCTATCGTGTTGAAACTTTGTAAGCTTCTTTCACGTATTACCATTGCTTTTGTTGTTTACTATCTTTGTATGTTCCCATTTCCTCTCCTTTTATGTCTGTGCCTGTAAATCTTTTTCCTATATTTTCTACCGAGTTGGAATTATCTTTATACTATCTTTATGATGATAATGATCTTTATCTGTTCCCTTGTCCGCTCTTTTATGTCTGTCTGTTCTTGTATATCTATTTTTCTATATTCCCTATCGAGTTGAAACTTTGTAAGCTTCTTCCTTTATATATTCTCCTTTCAACTCTTTCTATGTCTGTTCTTGGTCATCTATTTTCTATATTCTCTATCGAGTTAAAAGTTTGTAAATAATGTGTACCAACATTGTCCTTCATTGTTTTGTTGTACCCTCTTCTCGCTTTTTGTGTCTGTCTTGATCTATCTGCTCTTGTCTATTCCTTCTATATTCTCTATCGAGTTGAAACTTTGAATGCTTCCATGTATCACATTGTCACTTACCTTTGTGTCTTTTAGCATGTTTATTCCCCAATTACTAATAGATCAAACATCCTTTATATGCCTATGGTTTGCAGTTATATTTAGAGCAATTATGGGCTCAATAGAGCACATTTATCCCCTTCTTTCTCATGCAAACTTTACCCTACAATACACGCATCTAGACGTATTAGTTTATTTTCCAAGAGTGAAATTGTATTTAACTGCATCAATTCATCAGGCTTAGCATCTTCTATCTTGTTATCTATGCTTGTTATCTCATCAACGGCTTAGTATCTTCTATATTGTGATTTATGCTACTCGATTATCTGCTGAGGATAAAGCAGTTGCAAACTAGAGAAGTAACATTTGCAAATGCATAATGTTTACCTTCGGACATGGTCTGCTCTGTTAATTCTTACTCAAACACATTCATATACATGTACTAGTAGTATATGGTGACAGGAGCAGAGCAGACCATGAAATTGCAACATTATGTAACCCAACACCAGTCACCATGGTGACAGACGTCAACAAATCATGTCATTGGTCAGGTCAGAGGCCACTGTTTGGAGAAGAAGAAGAAGAGGAAGAAACGGAGCAAAAACAATATGTTTTCCTTTGGTAAACATAACTACACGAAAAAGGGTAGCCTTGCAAAACTATGATTAACGTTTGGCATATTTTCCCCCTTCTTTCTATGTATCAGATTGATCAGTCCAAGGAGCGTGTGACGACGGAGATGCGTGTGCTGAAGAAGATAAGCAATCTTGGCGGTCATCCTAATATCGTCAGACAGCTTATCAAGATGAACGAAAACGGCAGCCATATAACATGGTAAAACCCCTGTCATGTGTTGCCCTAGTATATTATAGAGTTTATTGCAAATACATGGTCGAGGGCTAATTGCAAGTACAAAGAACATTGTATGAAAAGGTGAATACAATGATATAAGAGACCACGTCTACTGTGGTACTAGTTTTGTTGGGTTCGACTAGATATAGAGAGGCATAATCTAACGATCCACGGGAAAGTGAGCAATGCCTATTAAATTTATATAATTATTAAATGGACAATTATCCATGCATCATGCATTTGGAACGCATAATAATCAGCGAATAAAACACTTGGTTGCGTAAAAATAGCATTTATTCATTAAGCATGGACGTTTATCTGACAGTGTGTAGAAGTTACGTAGCATTATGGAAATGGTTTAAGAATCTGTGTCATCTAGATCCTCAGTATCCTGAAGAAAAGAGTACTGTATGGTGAATGAAAAGTTTGGTGAATAAAAATTCAAAAATTACCTTCCATAATCTATATGCCTGTCCCCTGTAAAGAACTCGAATTTGAGAATGTTTCATAATTTGACATATTTAACAAAATTATGGACAACCCATTGCCTTACAGGATCCTCTACACGGAGAATGACCACGACCGTCTCCAGGACATTGCCCCTCAGCTGACCATGGATGAGGTCCAGACCATCTCTCACCAGATCTCATACGCGCTCAACTTCCTGCATGAAAACAACATACGCTTAAACGGAATCTCATTGGACAACATTCTGGTGGAAAGGGTAAGGACTACTGTCCCTTCTTTTATGAATTGTAATATTTCAGTCCATACTATGGAACCATGGATGAAATATATTGTTTTTACTTACGTTTCTTCTTCTTCAGAACTTATTTTTGGAATATGTGTTCTACTTCTGCACAGGTGTGAGTTTGGAACAGTCAATTTTTATGGGGAGGCAGATGGACTGAAATGTGCTGTATTTGCTCTCGAGCAAATGTCGACCTTTTGTAGTTTCGCTCACTTTTCCTAACTATTATGTATCCTGGAGTTTGTAACAGATTAAAGTTGGAATCGTGGCTGATATATCGTTTTACACATATGTGCATGTTTGGCAAGGAGGCATAATATTTCTCATTCTTTTAAGAATATGAAATATTAAATGATTGCTTGAGGGGATGGGCCATTATTATGTTTTATGTAAATACTACGTACTTGGTTATCGTGTATGTAGTTTGCGTTGGTCGCAGTGCCTAAAATAAAATAAAAAAGATGATAACAATTTCTAACATGCCATAACTTTGATCTATCATGCAAGGATGTTCTATTAAGAACTATTATCAGAGAAATTAAATGTACTTGTCTATTGTTATACTTCATGTATGTGCTTGGTTTTGCATGTGTTTTTTTGTGATCACGGGCCGCAGTGCCTAATTAAGCAAGAAATAATAATAATAACAATTTTTAACATGGCATAACTTCGATCTTCACAGAAACCCGAACTACGAGCCGTCATCTCGGATTTCTCGAACGCAGAAGAGATGAGTTCTTTCCGAATGTCGGACAACGATATCGCAAAGGACATCAAAGACTGGGAGGACATCAGAAGCACCCTTGTATAGTCCTCCACGAAATTTACTTCTTAGGCCACACCAATTTAATTTCTTGGTTAACGGATTTTTTTAGAAAAATAATGGAGCGGGCGGGCGAAAAAAAATGAAAATAAAAACAGACCTAGGTATCCTATTATGGCCCAAAATGGTACGATAGGAGCCATGAAGTCAACACACCAGGCCGGTTCAAAATGTAAACAATGAATTTTGAACTTTTAATGATATCATTGCATTGAAAGATGGAATACCTGTAACAACTAGGAAGAAAAGGATTGTTTTCAACTGTTCAGGGCAAAATATGAGCATTTTGCAGTTTTTGAATTTTTATTTTTATTTTAAAATCAGAAAAAAATGAAGCGGGCGAATCCGTTAACCAAGAAATTGAATTGGTGTGGCATTATACATAATTTAAACACTGTGTTGTCTACGTAGCCTAGATTTTGGCGCCATGGCGCTTATTACGTCGTTAAGACTGTAAAGTGAATGTACCTTCCATACATAGCAGCCAAACAATGACTTGGCTGCATTCTAAAAATGAATCTTAGTTCCAGAAAAGACTCTTCCCTTTACGTTGAGCTGGCATCAAAAATGTATTTATATGTGCCTAAATGCTCGCAAAAATCGAATTACCTGTGTGAACACATGAGCAAGAATACCACGTTTCATGTGGTTAAGCCATTTTTTTCTTTTTTAAAAGCTAAAAAGCTGTGGTCCAAGAAATGGTTCTAAAAGCAGGCTGCTACCTGATTTATTTTGTACAGGCGATATTCTATTTGAAAAATAACTTCATATAGACTTTAAATGACGAGAATGGGAGTCCAACCACTATCCCGTGACAATGATTAGGCCACGTTGATTTGATTATATTATTGGTCGTTTCAAAAAAAAATAAGATTTCAACCATACTGTAAATCGTACAAAACAGTTGCAAAATTAGCAAATATATACCGTAAGTTGCAAAAAAATATTTGAAAACGATACCAATGTCGTAGAATGCCAAAATCAAATGAAAAAGACGAAAATGTGAAGAAATGAATTTGAAGAGTAGATTATTCGCCATATCATACTCAGTGTCCTTTGTTCAACCTTTATGACCACGTATTAGATTTCATGATGAAAGCAATTTTGTGTTGTAAACCTTTTTTCATTCGCACGCGTGCATCAGTTTTGGGGTTCCCAGAGGATGTCATCCATATAATCAAATCAACATGGCCTTAGCCTACACACAATCACATTCTGTATCCTGGAGACGTTCTTAGACTTAGATATTGCGCTTCTTGTAACTCTACATAGCCGCATGCTGCTTCTTCCTAGCTTGTGGAAGTAGTGCAATCGTTTGTACAGCATGTAAATGTGTCATGATGATATCCATCGTACCGTCTGTACAGTTTTGAAGTGCCTCCTGCTATATATAAAATCGAAAGCTATCGTAAAGTGTTATATGTAGGCAGTACACACCGTACTTACTAACGTCCACGCATTGGAATTGTAAATAAGCCTGCTCACCTTCAAAAGAGATTAAACTATTCACCGCACTCAGGCGTCCAACGTTGTAAATAGCTGTAGATCTACCTTGTATTAAAGAAAGCTGTTACTTTGATCCTGGTGTGATGGTATTTCATTGGGGATTCATTTACATGTAGACTGGTGTATCTTGAGACGTGTAGCTTTATTGGTGTTAGAGAAGTAAGAAAGAAAGTTTACAAGCTTGTAAAATGCGTATTTATATGACGCTGAAGCGCCTGGTCACGAATTTGGCCTACGAAACACTAGCCGCAACCTTGGTTAAGTGTAGGTCAGAGCAAAGTTGGCTGCCATTCGGCTGTACGTCCCCAGAACGCCAGCTAAGCATTCGGGGGTAGGTCTACAGTGTTTGGTGCGTGTTGGGGGGTTCAGATTTGACTCAAATTTAACTCAAATTCTATTCTTATACAATGCACGCAATTCACGTACTTTAGCAATGCCACATACTTTCATACCGTGGTTTTCCAATACATACGTTATATTATACCAAGCTATTCAGCCAAGCACATAAATGTATTTCTACTGAACCACAATATTTACAGAATCATTTGAAATTATTAACTATAGAATGACAAAAAAGACCAGTAAAGTGACAATTAAAGTTTAGATGATGTGCCAGCCTTCTAGACTGATATTAGTGTTGCGCAGTCCAAAACTCTAGTCACATACATTGCAAGATGCACATTGTAGGCGTGGCCTAAAGCTGCTACCGGACGTCAGCCGAACTAGGTCGGCTGGTGTTCGGAAGCAAGGTCGGGGGAATGTCGCATGTGACAGGGGCTTAAGATGCATTTTACACGTATGTGGCCTCCGGGGCTTTGCTCCACAACTCTAGTCCTGGTTATGACACACACAGGGGAGGTCCGTGCCGTGGCACAGGGGAGGGTCCATCCAGCACTTGCAGTAGGAGCCGGGACCACAGTCCGTCAGCGCCGAGTGGTCAGGGCCGGGGAGTACTGGGTCCAGCAAATCCACCACCGGAGAACTGGAATCTGTAGAAATAGAAGAGAATCTAACTATGCCGCCTTTTAGTGCCACTCACTGGCATGGCATTTTTCAAAACACGGTTGAAGGCTGAGCAGAAAACCAGATATCTAGCCTGTATATGGCCATCTTCGTTAGAACATAAGTATTCATAGCTAGCTCAAACGACTCGAAATAACAGACAATGGTTTTGGTTTCAAAGAAGTATTTAAGAATTATAGCGAAAATGTAAGAATAGAATGTCGTAAAATCTTTGGCATTTATTTCTCAAAGCATTATCATCATCAGTAGTAGTGGTAGGCATTCTTCCGTATCGAGAGATGATGGTAGCTCTATCATGGTGTTATGGCCGTGGGTAGAGATATAATCAACACTTCATAAAGTTGCTTATAATGACTTCGGGTATTCATCAATTTCACACTTCCCATAATGCCTAGTCAAGATCACGGATATGGATATGACGTAAGAAGGGGATATACGTAATGCGACCGTGCGAGTAGGAGAGTCTTCGTTCGGTAGAAGGTAGAACTATAGATGGTACGTCATTTTCTCTAATTCCAACAAATATGCAATTATGGCATGCGCTTTATATTAGATAAATAATTCAAAACAATATAGTTGACCTGTTTGTCAATAGAACTGTTGAAAATATTACATCGAGGAAGGGGCGAGGGGTGGTCATAGGTCATATCCGTGATCTTTACTAGGCATTATGGGAAGTGTGAAATTGGTGAATGAAAGCCTACCATAGTAAAACGTTAAACTTTATTCCAACACACAATTTACAGAGATCAAATTTTCAGCGACCACTGTCGCCTTCATCAGGATAATTAATGACCAATCACTGCACAACGTGATCTCGCGAGAGTTACGGTTTACAAACACGTGACCTTAATCACACGAGACTTGACTGATACGTGACGTAAGCAATTGATCAAAAGTTTGATCTCTGTAAATTGTGTGTTGGAATAAAGTTTAACGTTTTACTATGATTACTACCAACACAGATGAACTTTCATGAAACCTTACCATGTTTAGGCCAGTCTGCGTTCCCCCCGCTGGAGTACACCCCCCTGTAGTACTCGATGCACGGCCGAGCCCCCCCTACTCCGTGGTTCACCAGCTGGTCGTACGCAGCAAACATGGCGGCCTCCGACTTCCCGCCATAGATGTCCGCACAGGATTGTGGGAAGAATGTGATCTGACATGGCGCCACCTGGAGGTGACGTCATAACATGAAATGTACCGCAGTATATTTCCCTCTACAGCATACTTATTAACAGCCCTACAGCTGTGGCTGAACAGTCCTATTACTATAATAACTCATTAGGCAACAGCAAGTAATTTTTATGGATGTCATCAGCGCGCGCATCAATTTTCGCCTGATTTTGGAAAAAAACAAACAATAAATGTTGTTGCCTTCTGACAATGGTCAACATGACGAAAATGGGCAAAGATGCCTTTTGTCAGGCCGGAAGGTGGATGGCAGATAACTATAAAGAGAGGAGACAAGAAAAGACTCTGATTTAATGTTTTGTTTCTTACTTTGGTGCAGTGATATGTGATGCCGGCTGTGTACATGTGATGTTCCCACTGAATAAAACCATTTGTACATTGATTGAGTCAAAATTTTAAATTGTAGCAACCTTGTTTTTTGGGGCCCGCCTTTTTTTTTCGCCCGCTCGCATCAGATTTGGAGTCTGCGGAGGATGTCATCCATAGAATTTACTTGCTGTGGCCTTACAGATACAGGGAGTATCAACGTCAGTGTCGTTTTGGAAGAGATTCAAAATGACGGCCGCAATTGGAAAGACCTCTGTCGAGAGACTGAGTGAAAATGCTATTTCTTAACTTGAAACGCCCACCAGAAGGATACAATCAATTACTTACAAAAGTCTGTACCCCAATATTATACACTGACGGCTTTCTTTTTATCATCAAAGAACAGCGACATTGGATTTCAGCGATTTCATGTCTGGTTCAGTCGAGTCGACAAAATTTTTTATGAATCACAGAAAATGTGATTGTGGGGTAGTTTACCATATACAGTGTCAAGGACAGACTTCCAAGGGCCCGTGTAAGGAAACCTATATTGGAGAGACTGAAAGATCTCTCAAGGCTAGGTTCTTAGAACACAAACTACCTAGCTCGACTACATCGGAGGTATCACAACATATACACATAGAATCGCCTGGTCATTCAGTCTCAAAGGGACAAAGTAAGAATCCTGGACTCAGAACCGGATTTCTTTGCACGAGGGATTAAAGAGGCCATCTACATCAGGGCATTACAACCATCCCTCAGCAGAGACGGGGGGCGCCACAGACTTTCTGAAACCTATGATGCACTGCTCATGGAGTCACGTGTGTTATCTGCGTGACGTCACGGAAGCGGTGGATTTTTCATTCCTTGACAAAGACTGGAGTTGTGCAGTCGAAAATTTGTGTGAGTCCAATCTCTTGTGTTGGAAATTACAGTTTAAACTTGCTGCAAAATGTAAGGTGGTCTAGATGCAAACTGTAATTGACTGTATCTTGTTCTCATATCCATCACTAGAGGTACCTTGCAACTCCACCAGTCATGTCATGAGAAATCTATTGTGGAATCTTAAAAAGTAATTAACTTGGCTGACCCGACGGGAGGTGCTCTATTGAAAACTTATCACTCCTTTTTATCTCACCTTCTCAGTGTAGGAAGTAATGAAGAAATTCTTCCCCTGGGCGAGAGCGTAATCATAGTCAGCCAGCTTCGCACGCCTGCCCATCTCAGAGGGAGTGACGTAAGCGACCTGATCGTGAAGATAGACGTTGCAATGCATGTACAAACCGGTAGATGGCATAATTACACTGAGTAGAATATATTCTTCGTGGGTTCCCTTTCACTATAAACACTATAAATACAAAGACGTTTTCTGAACGAATTTCACAAACGGTACCAAGGAAAAAAATGTAATACCCTCGGCTAATTACGTAACCCGTGTGACCTTTAACCCCGAGGTCACGACCTTTTCAGGTTCGAAAAAAAGATGGCGGATAAAGTTGAAAACTCTTCCATTCGAACTTTTAGTCGTGAGTAATGGCACAATTCTTTATTTTCAATAAATATTCTGAAGCTATATCAAAAGACAATGTCCTGGGTTGAAAATCAATTTAAAGACGTCCAATTTCGGGGATACAAAACAAAAGAAAATTGAGAACATCTGTCTGATATTGACATTTACTCCATTTCTTAGAACATTTTCATTATCATTTCATTGAAGCGTTTGAAATACCTCAAACACAAGCTACGCGAGGCGTCTCTTTATTTTTGGGGTACCACCTATAAATAGCTATCAACAACCGTCGTTTTCTATCAGTAACATCGCATCATTGCTTCACAGATATCAGTATGCTATGGCGTAGGATTGATTTAACTTTAACATTAAAAGAAATGGCCAGAAAATTGACAGTTGAAAACCGAGAGCTTTGCCGCCCTGATATAGCTCTGTGTGCCTTTAAGACTAACTGTACCCTGGATGTTCGGTAAGGCTGAGGTCACATTTCCAAAAAAAAAACAGGGGCCCGGCCGGGCAGTCTTATGGATTGAAAAGTATGATATAAAAGACAACAAAGCACAAAAAGTTGAAGTTATTAACAATGGGAATTATCTACGTATATTCATGATATAAATTATTGATTTTTCGCTAATCCAAACAGCCCGGCCGGGCCCCGGTTGGAAATGTGACCTCAGCATTAGATAAGACGACAGACAAAACTTACTGACCTGTACGTCCACGCTGTCAAAGATGTCAATCATGTGGCGGGAGATCTTTTGATCTTTGCCGTTCCACAGGACTACGTTTTCTGTCACGTGATCACACGCCATCCCCCAGTGCCACGACATGGAATAGTGGACCTTTAGATACCCTTCAATATTAAAGATAAACATATAATGTTAGGGTGTTATGATAAGTTTGTTATGAAAACAATGGAGGTATTGTTTTTGATCTGTGCGTGTGTGTGTGTGTGTGTGTGTGTGTGTGTGTGTGTGTGTTTCCTCATTTTTAGTCATCATAACTTCAGAACGCATGTATGATGGATTATGATGGTATTTGGTATGTTGGTAGGTCGTAGGAAGACAAAGACCAAGGTTAAATATGGGCCTCCTGGTGGCTGACCTTGGTATTGCATCAGAATTTCCGGTTTTTGTATCTTTGTCAGTGGATAATATAAGTTATAAACTTGAGTGCAGCGCCACACTGTCCTTTTTATGTTTTGATGTTTTGATGAATAATAAAAAAAAATATTTATGGAAGGGACATTACCAGTTGTCTGTTTCCTAGCCTCTGCCCGGATGTTGTCCAGCTTTTGGAGGTAGGTGACCTTCTCCAGGGGCGTGCCGCACTTGACATGGGAGAACGCTTCGTTGTTGGTAGCCACGCCCACAAACCTCTCCTGGGTTCCTTCATGGAAAAAAAACCTTACGTTTTATTATTGGATTAACCAACTTTTCATAATTATGTTATGGTGGTCAACTAGGATGTTTAGTCTTTCCTCTAATCTTGTTATTACCATGTACATAATGTAAATGCTATTAGTTCATATACTTATGTCATAGATTGTTTTAATGTTGAACCTCAAATTGCTATTTTTAGGTAGTGTGTAACGATATGGATTTTAGCGAATAACATATTAATTTTAATTTCTTAAGCCTGGAATGTTAACTAAGAAAGCAAATTGTACAGCAAGTCACAATTTAGCCAATGGCTACAAGCTCCTGTTTATGTTTACAAATAAAGCTTTTAGTTGATTGATTGATTGATTGATTGATTGGATTGATTGATTGATTGATTGATTGATTGATTGATTGATTGATTGATTGATTGATTGATTGATTGATTGATTGATTGATTGATTGATTCGAAGTATTCAAAAACTTTTATAGTATAATGGGAATCAATCACATTGGACTTACACAGATACTAATATATACTAATAGAAATACGAATACATACCGGTACTTATTTCAATAACAATAATGATTATGAAATAAAGACTAAACTTTAACTACCTAGGGTTAAGTACCAATTCATTGTAGCGTGGGCAGTTAAAGTTTAGTATTTATTTCATAATGACTTGTATCAACACAGATGAATTTTATTTCGTGATGATAATAATACCTTTATCGCACAGCAATTGTACAGAGTACAAAGTATGATATATTTCATAAGGTTAACCTAACAAATGCATATTTAAGAGTGGATGGCTAGTATGGGATAGGTATGAGCTCTTATAATCATTGGTGGAATAGTCTGTACAGTCTTTGTTCATATAATTTTCGTACTCTGGACTCATAGTCATATATACCATGCATATGCGCCATAGAGAACAAAGACTGTACAGACCTCTAGTTAGATTGAAAGCCGGCCTGGACAGTTAAATCGACACGAGTTTAATATGGAAAACGATGCTGATTTGTTTATATCTGTATCTTTGATTTTATTGCATCTTGTACTGGGCCCCATTGAAAATCAATTTGGCAAAATTAAACTGGGCCACCCAGGTGTCCGAAGATTAAGTAAATTAAATAAAGAGTAGTCCTACCTGCACAAGCGTCATTGTACCACACCACATGCTTGACCAGTAGCTGCTCGGATACGGCAAGGTCACTCACGGCATAGAGCGCGTATACCTGCGGCATATCACATACAAACACGTATTAATATTGCTCATATCCATTTTTCACAGAGAGAGACAGACAGAGACAGAGAGACACCTATACTTACGCACGCACACACTTACTTACACACAAACACACACACACACACACACACACATGCACGCACGCACACACACATACACACACATACACACTCTCACATGCACACGTACACACATACACACACTCGCAGGCACACGCACATACAACACGATGTATTCCGCATTGAACCTCGGTCCCTCGGGTTATACAGGATTCACCGTATTGTATTCTATAACGTTATGAGGCGAAGTTTATTGCAAATACTTGCCCGAAGGCAAAATACAAACAACTTGCTTGACAAAGGAAATACAATGATTTTAGAGTCTAACATTCTACAACAAATGTGGTACTAGTTTTGTTGGGATTGACTTCTTTTGAGGCAGTAGAAGACTCATTTACCCACTTCTGTGATATGTGGGTTCTTTCACTTACTTAAGTTGTACAATTGTTTTTTCATGGTAAGGAAGATTGAGAAAGGAAGGGTGTATTTTGGACACAATGGAAAATAACTGTTTTTTTATCATTTATATCTTTATAAATTTATTATAAATTATATATTTATATGACATGAACAATTACATTATTGTGGGTGCAGTTCCTACATTGCCTCAAGACCTCACTAAGTTCTTGTATCAGCGTGATTTATTCCCACTTATTACTAGATACATTTGAATTATGCTTAAGTTGCTATATGTATTGCCTGTTTTTTGTATTTTAATATATTACCGTCATGGACTGTGTAAATTTTGTTGTTGTAAAGATGTTTTTGTATAGGGGAGGGCAACTTGTAAAGGTGCTTATGCACCTGTTTTGCCCTCCCTTTCACTTTGTGGAAAATGCCAATAAACAAATAAACAAATTACAGATGAAATGATTTCCGTCCTTAACTGCATGTGAAGAGCTATACCTGTAGCCCGGGAACCTGATGGTACCCGTCCCGTAGCGTGGTCTTGATGAGCTGTACGCCGTCAGCCGTGCAGTCGTCATTCCGGTACCCGGCTTCCAACAGGCGATGGAGACCGGCCAGGAAGATCGTACTGATCTCTCTACCTACAGGAGAAAGACATCTTAGCATGAAAGTTCATCTGTGTTGGTACAAGTCATTATGAAATAATTTGGGGTAAGTAGTGTTGGCAGTTAAAGTTGAGTCTTTATTTCATAGAGAAAGATAGCCGCGGCGACTGTTGCAGGGCTTCTCTTGCTTGCAGTCTTTAGGGCTATTATGTAAAAGACTGCAAGCAAGAGAAGCCCTGCAACAGTCGCCGCGGCTAAGAGAAAGACATCGTTCTCAATGACTTTAAGTATTGCTTGAGAACGTGTAACGATGTGCGGTTGAATTCTTGGTATCGTGGACTACATTTAATTTCTAGCAGACAAAACGTGTAATTTGTCACAAATGCTATACCATACATAAGCGCCATCTAGCGAGTTATCAAGGATCTACACTACAACTAGACCTTTAAAATGTAGACCCTTTGACTCGCCTACCCATCCCCAGAATTTCGATTTTATTACCACTAAGTGGATTTTGTTTTTTGTCGTTTTGTATTTGTTTGATCCCTTTGAGATACCAGTAACCATGAAACAACTTAGGACATGTTGATTTGATTATATGGATGACATCCCGCGCGCATGAATTTTCGGCCGTTTCCAAAAAAAAAAAACGTTTTCAACCAAATTGTAAATCGTACAAAACAGTTGCAAAATGAGCAAATATATACCGTAACTTGCAAAAAAATATATTGCAAAACGATACCAACGTTGTAGAATGCCAACATCAAACGAAAATAGACGAAAATGTAAAGAAAAGAAAAGAGTAGATTATTTATCATACCATGTACCATACTCTGTGTCATTTGTTCAACCTTCATGACCACATAGATTTCATAATGAAAGCATCTTTTTTCTGCCAAACCTTTTTTTTATTATCACGCTCGCATCAGTTTTGGGGTTCCCAGGGGATGTCATCCATATAATCAAATCAACATGGCCTTAACTATAAAAACGCCATATGCACCTGGTACATTGCAGGTGTTCCACAGCCAGCGTCTCTTCTCCAGCGTGTTCCAGGAGTGAGTGAAGCAGGGGTTGGTGTTCATCGTCGGGCTAGTCCAGGACAGGAAGTCGGTCTCCGTGCAGCCCTGCACTTCCGGGTCATACCCATCAGCCCACACGTACATGGCGTACTGCTTCCTGTCTGCAGCCGCCATGGACAGTCCAGCTAGGAGAAACACCCATGTAGCGGCACCACAAATCTGTAATTTGGGAGAAAAACGCAGGTTGATGATGAATTTCACCCTTTTTTTAACCAATGATCCTTGATGCTCCTCAGATGCAATAAAGAACAACAAGACTGGCAATGAATACATACATTGCCATGGCGACGGTGGTTGCTGTTAGGGTTATTGTTTGCATGGCGCACTGCCGTCATTTCATGATTTTGAGGAAGACTTGGTTAAGTCTAGGCAGATACAGTGCACTCCTACCCTGAGTGTATAGTGAACGAGCCCCGGGGTCACAGAAAGTAGGGCCATCCAGGGCAGACAGGTCTTCCCAAAGGTTTCCGGAATGTGGGCATAGATGTGGGTCAGAGAAATACCTGTGGGCATTCCGCATGCCTGTGGAAAAAATGCCTGTACCATTCCTAGAATTCTTTCAAAATGCACACAATATTGTACCATTAGGCTCCTCCCTGAGACGTCGCCAAAAATCATTTCATCTGTAATCGTACATTTCATAATGGTATCAGAATCACATATTGCTGCTGGTCAGCAAACGCCATAGACGGTCCGGCTAGTAGGAAAAAATCATCCTTGGAAAGGCACCAAAAATCTGTTATGAAATGAAGCCAATTCTATGAGCTTCTTCACAGCGACTATCATACATTGGTAACAGGCGCTTGTAAGGCCACACCATCTTAATTTTATGGATGGCATCCGCGTGCGCATTGGTTTTCGCCTGTTCTAAAAAGAAAAAAAGATCACGTCCGCCGAGGCTCTGGCATGGCTCTAGGCCTGGGTAGTCCATGGTAGTCAGCGACAATACGGAGTCGGGCACCCAGGCTACCAAAGCTCCACGACTCAAGAACTCCGATTCATAAATTCCGCCAAAAGCCAACATGTGCCGGCTTGTCGTATACGTCGCTATATGTAATAATGCGGCAAATTCACAATTGCAATACCAGCTTGTATTCCTGTGGTTTAGTAGCATTTTTATTTTTTGCCTAAATTTTTTTTATTCGCCCGCGCGCACTAGTTTGGGGGTCTTCAGGGGATGCCAGCAATAAAATTAAGTCGTTTTGGCCTAACTAAAAAAAAAAACATAACATGCATCAGTAAAGATCTGAAGTTCTCCCCCGAAGGTGTCTTGTCCTTGGATGAACTTTGGCACTCCACCAGACGACTCTTTTCTCACGCAGTCAGTTAGAAAGGCACTGATCTTCAGATAAAGACGATTAACTTGTTTGGAAGGCAATGGTCCGTACAGGCAAGGGGGAGGGGGGCTCCCTTGAAAGTTGTGGATTTAGAAAGATTGAATAGCAGAGAAGCCGCTGGTTTGAAAGTGTTGAAGTGGGTGTAACCTTGAAATACTATATCCAGGACGCCTAGATTGTTATTTTATGTTCCATGTGTAAACAAGAGTGTATGACAAGTAACCTACATGTATGGTGCTACATTCTAGTTTTAGTAATAGCTCACATTCACAATATTCAGTTCGTCCAATGTAGCCCTGGCGACTGTTGTATAGGCTTTTCTTGCTTGCTTTACTATACGCTAATACTATTACAGGCAAATGTATATTACTGCAAGCAAGAGAAGCGCCTCAAAACCACGGCTAGGTTGGGAGGTTGAAAAACAATTTAGAGTGCATAGCGTTTTACTACCAGAAGTATAATATGAATTTTGCGGACCAACTTCATGAACTGTGAAATGTGTGACTACAGATACAAAACACGTGAAAATGAGAATTTTTTTAACGTGAATCGTGAAACGGGGATACTGAAGACACCCTGGACGGTAAAAACCACCTTATTGACGTAATATTTACATTATGTGTCCTTGCCCTTTTTGGTACTCTGTCTTGAAAAATGTACGCCCCCTTTTTCCGTCAAACCCAAATTCTTCAGCTCCAGTTTTTCAAACAATTTCGTAATTCTGTTGCATTATCCACAAATTTGACAATAACGCATTGCAGTGTTTCCTGTAGTCACATCATGTTACATTATTGTAAGTTTTTTTTCATGAAATTCACATAAAAAGTCACATTTATACACCTGTTAGTGTTACGTGTTCGTGACGTGGTTACTAAATACACCAACAGCTTACCCTGTCTCTACGAGTAGCCTTCATGTCGGTTGTTCAACTCTTGCTCAGTCGAAGCTTGAAAAAACTCCAACAGCAGAATTTGATTCCACGTGAAGAAACAAAAATTCCGTATCACAGTGTCTTCTACTGGAGCAAAAATTCTAAATATCTCGGATTGTTGAGGAACAAAGCTTCAGCTACTTGCTGAAGGACTTTGTCCAAAGATAAAACAGGTTGAGTGCCGTATGTTTGTGTAGTTAGAAAACAGGCTAAACTACTCTCTGACAACGGACTTTGTAAGTTTGGTCACGTATCGTATCCTCGGGCAGTCAGGTATAACAAAGTCCGTATTTTGATGTTTGCACAATACCCTGGGAGTCAGACTAGTATCGGGCCGTTGGCCGGTTTCCTACGGTAGCCAAGAGCATTACAGCCGCCCATCAAAATTACTGCTACGGGGAAGTTGAGCCCGAGGGGAGTTGGCCGGCTCTTCGGGCTCAACTCCCCCGTAGTGCTAATTCAGATAGGCGGGTGTAGTGCTCTTGGCTACCGAAGGCAACCGGTTAACAGCCCGATGCTAGTCTGTCTTCCAGGGTATTTGCACAAAGCTGATAAGTATTTGGGCACACCTGACTCTATGCCTTAAAGTAAAGTTAGAGACATCATCGGAATGTCGCCCGTTTAAGTGACGGATTATTATACTAGTTGTTGCAGTACCAATTCTGACCGCTTCGAGAATATTGTACAAAGGGAAGGGATGGGATGGGATGGGAAGGGATGGGAAAGGATGGGAAGGGAAGGGATGGGAAGGGATGGAATGGGATGGGTTGGGAAGGGATGGGATGGAAGGGATGGGAAGGGATGGGATGGGCAGGGATGGGATGGAAGGGATGGGAAGGGATGGGATGGGAAGGGAAGGAATGGATAGGGAAGGGATGGCATGGGATGGGATGGGATGGATAGAGAAGGGAAGGGAAGGTATGGGAAGGGAAGCGATAGGATGGATAGGGAAGGGAAGGGAAGGGAAGGAAAGGGAAGGGAAGACTAAGTGATCTCAATCTAGTAGTATTAGCCCACCGAAGAGCTAATCTCCCACTGGTCATGACACAGAAGACAGACGCTATTTACAGGTTCATTGTAAAGGGAAATTCAGTGAACAGTGGACCACAGCTTGAAGTCCCTGTCACACATTTACGATCTTCCCCCGACTCTGTCCCCGAACACAAGCCGACAGATTCGGCTGATGTTCAGGAGTAGTCTGACCAGATTTTTTTTATTCCAACATTTCATGACCAAACATGATGACAGCACACTCTAGTTATATCAACTTATTTTATGCCACCACCAACACAGAGTACAAATACGGGACAGGACAATACTCATTTTCACTTGAGTTAAGTGAGGAAAGTCGTGTAAAGTGCCTTTCCCAAGGACCAGATTTAAGTCACGCCTACCTTTTCATACGGATGGAAACGAAATTGAGTTAAATCTGAGTCACAATTTGAGGAAATTCTACCATCTATACACCCCTCAACACTGGCATCAGGACTAAAGTGACCACCTACGCACGCAAGACTTGGAACTGTGATACCTTCAAAAACAGCGTAGTTGGCAACTAGGCACATATTCTGTTCACGTTCAACTTAAATTGCTTTACCTGTTGGCAACTTGGCTCACTAACGTATCCATCGCTTCACTAGAGGTTGGCCAGTCTACTTTGCACATTTTACCACATGGCGTGGGCGAGGAACGATCTTTCCAAAGTTTGTTATAAGTGGTGGTACTAGAGAGAGTGGGGCAGTGCAACAGAAATTGGATAAACTGAAGGGTTTGTGGGCTTCATTCAGTTTGCAAAGGTTAAAAGGGAGGTAGGGAATTGCTGCACTGTGGCTTAAAGCTGCATTATATAACATTAGGCCACACCAATTTAATTTGCTGTTTCTCGGATTCACCCTGTCCATTCAACTGCAAAATGCTCAATGAAAGATATTTTGGCCCCAACGGTTGAAGAAAGTCCTTTCTTCCTAGTTGTTAAAGTTTTCCAACGTAACAATGCAAGTTTGTTTCATTAAAAGTTCCAAATCTATTGTTTTAATTATAAACCAGTCTGGTATGTTCACATCATGGCTCATACTGTAACATTTCCGGCTATTTTTCTGAAAAAATCCGAGAAACAACAAATTAAATTGATGTGTCCTCAGGACGATACAAAAAGTAAATTTTCTTTCCAAAGTAAGTTACAAATAAGTGCCATTAAGGAAGATGGGGTGCTAAAATATGACCCCTTATCGAGTGTGTTTAAAGGTTGGAAACAAACACAGCTGTCAGCCATGTTTGTTTACATTCTGGTAATTTTTGGTGGTACCACAAACTGAGTGTGCCTGGGGTGGGCTGTTAAAGCGCCAACCATACATGTCAGAAATGTGAGATAATTTCACAAATATGTTGAGAAATGGAAGTAGCTTACCACCACACGAAGATTTTTCAATTATAATATCTAATTTTTTGGTGCAAAAAATGTTACATAGTGTCCCTTTAAGATAAGATAAAAATGTTACATAGTGTCCCTTTAAGACAAGATCTAAACGGTGTGCCAAAAGGTAGCTATAGAGGTCGGAAACATCTATCATCCCACTGATAAATCGATGTCAAGACAACATTTCCGTTACATAACAACACGGTCAGATGTAGGCTATCTCAACACAGCTGTAAGTTGTTTCACGAGGGCCTGCATGGGGGGTGTAGTGATCACGAATTACTCAAAATTTTCGCTGCCGATTACGAATTACGTTAGAGCTGATTATGACTTTACGCTTTGCGGTTAATGTACTATTACGGATTACGTTGATTTTTCCGGGAGGCTGCCTGCGGATTACGATGAGGAAAAGGTCTGATTACGCCTTACGAAAAAGGGCATACAGACCCCCTTTTCATCGGTAGCTTTAAGGATTTGGGAGCCCAGTAGCAGTGACCTTTTGACCTCGGGATAGTCGGGGCGCTGGCCTACAACCAAAATCCCGTGACCCGAGGTCACAAACGAAACACTTGTTCAAACAGACTCGCGGAGAGGGGGGCTCCGTGTTGACGTCTGCAGCAAATCTGCGACATTCCGGTGTGTTATTGGTGCGCCTCGGCATGTTAGGCCACAGCAAGTAATTTTTATGGATGACATCAACGCGCGCATTAATTTTCGCCTGATTTTGAAAAGAAAAACAAGAAATTTTGTTGCCTTCTGACATGCCGAAAATGGGCAAAGATGTCTGTTGCCATGCTGGAAGGTGGATGGCAGATAACTATGAAGAGAGGAGACAAGAAAAGGCTCTGATTTAATGTTTTGTTTCTTACTTTGATCCAGTGATATGTGATGCTGGCTGTGTATATGTGATGTTCCCACTGAATCAAAACCATTTGTACAATGATTGAGTCAAAATTTTTAAATGTAGGAACCTTGTTTTTTTCGTCCTGCCTTGTTATTTTTTCACCCGCTCGCATTAGAGTTGGAGTCTGCTGAGGATGTCATCCATAGAATTTACTTGCTTTGGCCTTAGGAGCGGTAGGCCTAGGCACGAGAGTGCTTCGAACGGAGTTTCATTCACTATAGCACAACAGTGTGCCATTAACAGAAGAAAGGAGGAACTTACAGAGTACATCGGTCTGGAAATAAGGTACGTGAGATTAACATATTCTTCCTCGATAGAAAAGCATTTTTGTTGTATTTGAATATAGATAAGATTGAGGATGAGTATCATTTTGTAGTCGATTGTACGTTATATAGTAATGAGAGAGAATCCTATATAATAGTTAAGTTCCCCAGCTTTGGACATTTAAATGAATTAGAAAAATTCATATCTCTTATGAAACTTGACAAACCATGTATCATTAGTTCTATATGATCGTACATCTATAACTGCGTCAAGAAGCAAGAAGAAGTTGAACATGTAAATAGTAGATCACATTAGTATAGTTTAAGTATCATTGCTGTATCCTTTTCCTTGTCTATTCATGACCTGTACTTAGCTTGTTAGAGCACAAACGTACAATTAAGGTCGTTCTTTCATGAATTCATTCAATATAGGTTGGTTTAAAGACATCCAATGCTATTTCAGGGCGGAAAGACTGAAAATATTTTAGTTAATCCGTATGCTAGCTTTTGACACATATTGCCCCAAATTAGCACATTTGCATCAATATTTAATTTCGATGTTTAAGAAACAAGCCCCCTTAATTTTCTGCGTGGTACACCAAAAATTTATCCAGGATCCTACCGGTAACCATTTTCTGTCACAATTTCTGTGTCATTTGTTTGTCCTTGAATGTCGATGTACATCTGGGTAGTGTTGTTTCAACTTACTATATAGATAAGTGAATAAAAAAGAAGAGAATAAAAATCTGATTTTCAAGCTCTAAAACTGCATTGGGTAACCGTGCGGGCTGCACCAAACCTAGTTACGTTGCTTCGTAATAAAATACGACTGGCGTGTTAATTCTTATATTCAAATTAAATTAAGGCAGAATCGCTGCCCGAATAGTTTTGTGCGGCATTGTCGTTTCTTGCGATATTTTTGCTAGGAGATAGAATTGATTCAACTTACAACCTTAAAGAATGGACAGGAAATTGGTTTTGAAAATCCCTGAAATTGTATTGCATATGAATATGTGTATAGCAGTTACTCTAAGATATACTGTACGCTGTACTGCATGTAAGCAGGCATTTACAACACTAAAGCCCCTGTCACACATTCAGAGGTTGGCTGGAGTTCGGGAGTAGTCTCACCAGATTTAGGCATTGCCACTTTCTATACAAATCGGATCGAATTTGAATTAAATTTACCAACCTCGCCCCGAAGTACTCCCGAACACCAGTCAACCAACAGCCAACCTCCCGACATAGCTTTAACATAGCTTTTTAATAGCTGACTTAGCTGACCTAGCCGTACACCAGCTGATTTTGCTCCCATCTACTCTTATCCATTGTCTGGGGAAGATTCGCTATGTTCAGAAGGTCGTATTCGGCTATACTTTAAGTGAAGACGTAACTAAAAGCG